GGCACTGAAGTCCAAAGAGCATGGTGCCAGTGTCTGGAGAAGGCCCACTGACTGCATCACAACATGGCGGATAAGTGGAAGGAGAAGTGGATGCATGCAAAAGAGGGGCCAACCAGGAGAGGCAACCTTGCTTATGATAGCGTTCTCCCGTGGTAACTAATCCATTCCCATGAGAACTAACCCCATACTACCTGTAAGAGATTCATACATCTTAATGACCTAATCACCTCTCAAACCACCTCCCACCACAGCCACATTGGGAACCAACACTAAACATGAATTTTTGAAAGGCCAATATATATTCAAAACATAGCATTCCATATCTTTATCTTCACATAGCTTGATAGCCCGTTTCTTTTTTGTTTGGTTGGTTGGGGTTTTTGTTTTTGTTTTTGTTTTTGTTTTTGAGATGGTGTCTTACTCTGTCCTCCAGGCTGGAGTACAGTGGCACGACATCGCCTTACTGCAACTTTCGCCTCTCAGGTTCAAGAAATTCTTTTGCCTCATCCCCTCCAGTAGCTGGGATTACAGGCACCCACCACAATTCCACAATTCCCTGGTAATTTTTGGGATTTTAGTAGAGATGAGGTTTCATCATGCTGCCTAGGCTGCTCTGGAACTCCTATACTCAAGCAATCCACCTGCTCTGACCTCCCAAAGTACTGAGATTACAGATGTGAGCCACGGTGCCTGGCCCATTTCTTCTTATCATATTTATTTCACTGTCCAAGTGAACCACAGTTCATTTATTCATTCACCTAATGAAGGACATCTTGCTTCCCACCAAATCTTGGCCATTATGGATAAAGCAGCTAGAAATCTGCATGCAGAAATTTGTGAGAATATCAGTTTTCAACTCACTTAGGCAAAGAGGAATGCAATTGCAAGATCATATGACAAAAGGGTGTTTAGTTTTGTAAGAAACTGCAAAACTGTCTTCTAAAGTGGCTGTTCCATTTGTCTTTCCCTCCAACAATAAATGAGAGTTCTGATTGCCCCACATCCTTGGCAGCATTTGGTATTGTCAGTGTTTTGAATTGTAGTCATTCTAATAGGTATGTAGTGGCATCATCACTTTGGGACACATGATTTGAGCATTTTTTCATATGCTTATTAGCCATCTTTATCTTTTTTGGTGAGGTGTCCATTGAGATCCTTTATCAATTTTTTAATTGGACTCTTCATGTTCTTATTGCTGAATTTTAAGGGTTCTTCGTATGTTTTGATAACAGTATTTTATCAGACATGTCTTTTGCAAATGTTTTTTCCCACTCTTGACTTGTCGTTTCATTCTCTTGATTGTGAACAAAAGTTTTCAATGTGCGTGAGGTCCAGCTTATGAATTATTTCTTTCATGGATAAATCCATTGCTGGTGTTGTATCTAAAAAGTTACTGCAATAAAGAAGTTCATCCAGGTGTTCTTCTATATTGCCTACTTGAAATTTTATAGTTTTGTGTTTGACACGTAGGTCTATGATCCACTTTGAGTTAAAGTTTGTGAAAGATGTAAGATCTGTGTCTAGATTCTTTGTTTTTGTGTTTGCATACGGAAATGCAGTTGTTCCAGCACCACCTGTTGACAAGACTATGTTTTCTTCATTGTCTTTGCCCCTTTGTCGAATATTTGCATAGGTCTATTTTGGGGCTTTCTATTCTGTTCCATTGATTTATTTGTCTGTTCTTTTGCCAATGCCATGCTGTCTTCATTGCTGTGGCTTTCTAATAAATCTTGAAATTGGGTACTGTTAGTCCCCTGACTCTCTCCTTTTCTAATATTTTGTTGGTTATCCTTGTTTTCATTTTCTGTTGTTGCTGGGTTTTGTTTTGTTTTTTTGACTCTCCATATGAACTTTGGCTTTAATTTGTCAGTTTCCATAAGATAAATTCCTGGGATTTTGATGAGGATTGTGTTGAATTCAAAGAGCAAGTTGGGAAGAACAGACATTTCATTAGTGCTAGGGCGTCCTATCGGTGAACATAAAATATCTCTTTATTTATTAGTACTTCTTTGATTTTTTTAATCAAAATCTTGTAGGTTTTCTCATAGATCTTTTACATATTTTGATATATTTAAACCTAAGTACTTCATTTGGGGGAAGGGATGTTAACATAAATTGTATTGTGCTTTTAATTTCAAATTCTAATTTCTCATTCCTGGTGTGTAAAGGAGCAACTGCAATTGACTTTCCTATGTCAACCCTGTATGCTGCATCCTTGCTATAACTGCTTATTAGTTCCAGAAGTTTTTTGGTCAGTTGTCTTGGTGGCCCCCGAAAGATTCCTCCTCTAAACTTAGGGTTAAGAGTTTGTATTATTTTTCTTCTCCATACAGATGACTATCAAAGGCAAGGTAGGGGAGAGTGCAAGGCAGCAGCTTCCTGCAGTCTTCTCCACTTTATATTCATTCATATTGTTAAAGTAGGTGAGGGGAATTAATATTTGTGGAACAGTTTCCCAGATATTTACTATGAAAATCTACATATGGTGATTTAGACTTTCACACTATTATATCTTAAGGATCTTTGAAGAACCTTTAATTTTAAACTATTATACAATCAGTATCATTTTTATTAGAAAAACACAAAGAAGAAATAAGCAAATAATTACGTCAATACATGTCAAAAAGCCTCTTGATAAAATTCAACACCACCCCTTGTTTAAAAAGTGTTAAACCCCTTAAGAAGCTCACAGTTCAGGAAGATGCCTTTATACTGATAAATGGATCAGAAACCTACAGCAAAAAACATATTTAATAATACAGCATGAACTGAAATGTTAGTTACATTTATGGTACCCAGGATTTCTTTTAATCAGTAGTGGTAAGACACACAAACACAGAAATGACTGTCATGAGGGAAGTAGTTGATTTTACTACTCACAGTTCCCTGGAAACAACAGGCACAGCACACAACAAGGGCAGGACAGGGAAACATCGAGGTAACTCAGAAGGAAGAGGAAAGGGGGAAACATGGGCAAGAAACTTTATTGCTGTTTCCATAGGAAGGAACAAGCAAGGCAGGGCAATCAGGCTTCGCGTTGTCTAGTTTGAATGACGTCATCGTCTTCAGGATAGAAGAGGCTGCTAACTCGTCCTGAGGAAATTAGGGAAACAGGATACTGGTCAGAAATGTGAGAGTGATAAGAAAGAATAAAGACTGCAAAAGAGATAAACAGAGATGAAGAAGAAAAAGGAGTGAGGAAGAGAGGATAAAGAAGGAGGTATAAACTCTGGGTTGGTTGGTTTGTATATGAATGCATACAGGCAGGAAAGTTCTTTATTATGTACAAGAATTAGCCTATCCTGAGAGGGGCAGTCCCTCCAGGGTCAACAAGGCCCCAGATGTCAAGGCATCAAAATCAGAAAATAAGAGACATGACTGATACATCACTAAAGGCACTATTATAATTAATATGATTCAACATTATCCTGGAGTCTCTAGCCATGAACACAATAGCAAAAACAACAATAGAAACAAATATCTGAATGGAAAAGACAGACTTTTACATCCTTAGATAATGTATCTACTTAAAATATAACAACAAAGTCAAGCAATCCATTAAAAGCTATTAATTGATTTGATTATGTGTAAGTAAAATACAGAAACTAAAACCTGTCCTATATACTATATACCAGTGAAGCTCATTTATAAAATGTAACATCAAGGGTGATTCACAAGTCTAACAAGAACTAAAATATTTCTAGAATTGATAAAATTTCAAACTTGACGTAAGGAAAACAATAAATGTTTATTGCAGACATAAAAGAAGACATCAGGGAAAAAAAAATACAGGTCATCAATGCTCCACCTAGTTCCAATAACAATGGTTTAATTAAATAACGTGAGTTTCCTGACATGGTTCAAATTCAGTTACCATGGGATTTTAACTGTGAGTAATTACACAAATATTTACCAAGAAAAGTCAGTGATTTGCAATCATTCCAAATGAAGGGCATGAATTCCAGCTCATGCTGCTTCTGCACTGGGAATTTGGCGCCACAATAATAAACTGAGGCATCAATGACACACTTCTTTCAACAGTAAATCTAAGATTGAAATGTTTATTTTCAGTGGTTTTGCTATTTCCTGGGGATTATGGAGGAAATGCTTAGGATACAAATGGTGGAAGACTATACCGTGAAATTAAAGGTGAGAGATCAAGTAGAACATGTTATTGTATTACTAATATTTTACTATGAAGAGGGCATCCTCATAAATACAGGGATTTGGAGCTCATCTTAGCACTTCTCCCCAGGTTCGTTCAATACATATCATTTTATTGAAGTTGCGTGTATACCCATCAGTCTAACCTACTAGTTGAACAGCTCCTGTAATTGATTCTTCCATTTCTCTACCATATCTTGCCTCGAGTCAATTCTAAAGAAACGTTTGATGAAAGAAGGAAAACACCAGTAACATGTGTAAAGGGCTGCATCTAGAAAGGTGCTCTATCCACATGAGCCTTAGAAAAATGTGATGTACTCAGTGTATGAATTTTAGAAAATTTCCCCATTACACTTGCTAGTTTAAATGAATATTTGTGTTATTTTCAAAAACATGTAAACTGAATATATACTTATTGAATGCATATATATTATATACACACATTAAATATGTATGCGTATAACATGTACACATGTTAACATAACAGAGTAGACTTAACTCGTGGCAATGTTTTTTTCCTGAAAGCACCTGCTTTCTAGTTTCAAAAACCCTCAGAAGCCATGGGGGAAAGGGGACCCTTTGGATGCCACACAGTGCATGAGGCACACTTGGTTACAGTGATTTTAACATCATTCATATTCATAATTCACAGTGAGGAAACCAGAAAATTGCTAGCAGCCATCAATGAATGACAGCTGGGGCAGGCCGCTAGGGGGTGGGGCCTTGTGAGCCGGTGCCTGGGCTCCCACATCACAAATGGAAGGACCGCACGTGGAGGGAACTCAAGGCCTGATTGGTTCCTCCTAAGCAGGACACGATCTGGTTGTCAGGGCAACTGGCCTTCCGTTGGAGGCCTTCTGTTAGTGCCTTCAAAGTTGGTGTCATTCCTTTGGGAGAGTCAGCAGGTGCTGAGCCCTATAGACCTGGAAGCAAGCAAAGACCCAAGGTGCCCAGGAACAGCAGAGGCTCCCCATAAAAACCACGCTGACCTGTCACATGTGGACCAAAGCCAGCCCCAAGCAGGGCGGGTGCTGGGGTTCTGCAGAGCCGTCCTGCGGCTCTGACATCTATGAGTTGGCGGCCACCAAAAGCGCAGCCCCAGCAGAGAGGAGATACAGGCGCCCTGAACGCGCTATACCCCAATGCCAGCCCCAGGCGGGGCCGGCTCAGGGTGAGGAGAGCTGAGCTGTTCTTCAGCTTCGATTCAGATCTACAAGATGGAGATGGCTCTAGTGCCTGACCCCGCTGCTTTGGAGCACCCTGGCCACCAGAAGATGCCCAAAGGTAGGGAGCCAACGGATACCGCTTGGCCTCAGGGATCCTCTGGCCGTTGCTGACTCAAAGTTCCCCCCAGAGAAATGCACAACCTGGGGCTCCTCCCTCTCTCCCCTAGTTAGCTTTCCTAGGCCCAGCTCCCAGGCAGGAAGACTGGCTCTGCCTCGAGTCCCCGCCCCTTCTTCTTTCCCGGTTGTGTCTGGCTGGTTTCCTTCCTCTTCCCTACCCCAGTGCCCAGTTCTGGGACCTCTTCTTCCCCCAGGTGGCCGAAAACTAAGTTTACAAAATACAGAATGGATGCTACAGATTTCACTGCTGTAGAGAAAACGTCTGACACTTCTAGTAGCCACAGTGGAGCTGTTTCCCAATGCCAGCCCCAAGCGGGGCCAGCTCAGCCTGAGGTGGGCGGAGCCGTCCTGCGATTCTGAGATCCAGGAGGTGGAGGTGGAGTTGGGAGCAACGCCAGACACCTCTGCTTGGAGCCTGCCCAATCTGATGCGGGGACCCTGACCTGCAGCACAGCGGCGACCAGAAGACGCCCAAAGGTAGGGAGGCCACAGATACCGCTTGCTCTCAGGAGCTCCTCTGGCCATTGCTGACCCAAGCTTCCCCGCAGAGGCAGGCACAGACTGGGGCTCCTCCCTCCTGCTCCTAGTTCGCTTTACTAGGCCCAGGCCCCGAGCAAGAGGCCTGGCTCTAGGACTCACAATATCATATGTTCAACTCTAGACCAGAACTCTATACTAAAGTAATGTCAGAGGTTTTCTTATCGTTTCTAATCACGAAAAATGTTTTTTTCATAGAGACAGGGTCTCGCTGTGTTGCCCAGGCTGTTCTCAAACTCCTGGTCTCAAGTGATTAACCCACCTTGGCCTCCCACGTTGCTGGGCTGACAAGCAAGAACCACCACACCTGGGCTTTGGAGGGGCTCCTGCTCTGCGTGTTTCAGCTGGTCTTCCTGCGCAGTTGTCAGTAAGATGCTCCTGCAGCATCGTTTCAAATCTTTCTGCAAAAATCCAGTGGATCCTGTGATTTATTAACATAGAATAGTCTATTATTTGTAGAAGAGAAGCTAAACAATTCAGTTAGTAACCTATGGCCTAGAAATTTTTATTTAGTGATCAACACAACTGTTTATAGATGCTTGTGGTCCAAAAATGCAGATTCCTAATCATCCCCAAGGAGAAGTGATCCACTGAAAGGCAACCTGGGAGGGAGTTTAGGATTGTTCTGAGGCCGTGAAAACCATTGAAATTCACACGTAAGAGGGTAGAGAAAGGGAATTCGCATGTTTTGATCCTACACGTGCTGGGTGTAACTTGGTCTTTCAGTTTACTCATCTGTAAAAGGTGGGATTGTTATGAGGACTGCATAAGGTAAGTGTGTAAAAATCTGGGAATGATGTCTGTAATTTAAAGACAAAGTTGTTCTGTGACTTCAATAAGGTAAGTAAAAATCTACACAATGTCTTTAATTTTGTGATTGTTCAATATATAAAGAAGGATTATTTTTCTTTAATTTTTGGACAAGTATATAAAATTAGTATTATAAATATTTTTGAGATAATCAAAGAATCAGTAAGTTTAAATAAATCACCATAGTCAGGAAGCAATTCACAATATATTTACTGGGTAAGTGCTAGTTAAAAGTAGAAATGGGCCAGGTACAGTGGCTCAGGCCTGTAATCCCAGCACTTTGGGAGGCCTAGGTGGGTGGATCACCTGAGGCCCAGAGTTCAAGACAATCCTGACCAACATGGGGAAACCCTGTCTCTACTAAAAACCCAAAATTAGCTAAGTATGGTGTTGCATGCCTGTAATCTCAGCTCCTCGGGAGGCTGAGGCAGGAGAATTGTTTGAACCCAGGAGGTGGAGGTTGCACTGAGTCGAGATTGCACCATTGCTTTCCAGCCTGGCCAAGAAGAGTGAAATTTCATCTAAAAAAAAAAAAAAGTAATGATGATCACAATGAAAATCTTGCATTATATGGTGGTTTTCTCTCACCTAAGCCTCCCAGTTTGTTGAAACTATAGATTCACAATTGTTCTATCAAATTCTTCGTTAGAAAAACATGTTGCACTTAGTATGTAAATTTTGAAAAATTTTCTCAGTCTTATTTTCTTAAATATGTGTATTTAAAATTAAGAATGTAATTGTGAATATGTATTAACATATTTCATATATCGTATCAATTATATATATCATATAAATCAAAAGATCACAGAGTAATCTCAGTTCGTGGCACTGTTTTTTCTGAGAGCACCTGCAAAATTGCATTCTGTGTAGTTTCCAGAAAACTCAGAGGCCATGGGGTATGAGGGTCTTTGAAAGTCAGGTTGTACTTGAGGTACGTTAGGATACAGAAATTTCACCAGAATTCATGTTTATAATTCACAGTAAAGAAAGTTGCTACCAGCTACCAATAAATGAAAGGTGGGATGAGGTAGTTGGAGGGGCGGGGCTTTGTGAGCCAGTGCCCAGACTCCCACCTCACAAATGACAGGCCGACGCCTAGAGGGAACTCAGGTCCTGATTGGTTCCTCCTAAGCAGAACGCGACGTGGTTGGCAGGGCAACCGGCCTTCATTAGGTGGCTTTCATGTAGGGCCTTCTGTGGGTGCCTTAAGTTGGTGCCATTTGGTTGCCTTTCCTGGGGAGAGGCCGAAGGTGCTCAGCTCTGCAGACATGGGGACAAGCAGAGGCCCAAGCTGCCCCAGAAGAGCAGAGGGGCTCCATGGGGACCATGCTGCCCTGTGGCAAGTGCACCCAAGCCAGCCCCAGGCAGGGCCGGCACAGGGGTTCTGTGGAGCTGTTCTGCAACTTTGATATCAATGAGCCGGCGGCCAGCAAAGGTACAGGTCGCAGCAGAGAGGAGCAGAAGCTCCTGAAACATGCTGTCCCCCAATGCCAGCCCCAAGCAGGGCCAGATAGGGTGCAGTGGGCAAAGTCATCCTGCACTGTGGGATCCATGAGCCACAGGTGGGAGCAGCTCCAGACACCCATGCTTGGAGCCTGCCAAATCTGATTCCGGAGTCCTGACCTGCAGCACGCTGGTGACGCGACCAGAAGACGCCCAAAGGTAGGGGGGCCACAGATACCTTTGGCTGTTGCTGACCCGAGGTACCCCCAGAGGCATCCACAGCCCGGGGCTCTTCCCTCCTGCCCCTATTTGGCTTTCCTAGGCCCAGGCCCTAGGCAGGAGAACTGGCTCTGCCTGGACTGCCCACCCCTTTGTATTTCCCTGTTGCATCCAGACGGTTTCTTTTCTCCTCGCTTCCAAAATGCTCACTTCTAGGCCCTCTTCTTCTTCTCCTTGGCTGGTCAGAAACTAAGTTTTCAAAATACAAAATGGATGCTACAGATTTCAGTGCTGTAGAGGAAATGTCTGAAAGCTCTTCTATTTCAACCTAAGTAGCCATATGGGGACTCACAATTTTACATCTCAAGTTCTATACCAAATTTCTCTATTCCAAAGCAATGGCAGAGGATTATAGGTACTCTGCCTGATTCGAATAATAAAAAATAATCATTTTTTTGTAGAGACAGGGTCTCACTCTGTTGCCCAGGCTGGTCTCAAACACCTGGCCTCTAGTGATTCACCCTCTTTGGCCTCCCACATTGCTGGGATGACAGGCAAGAACTACCGCACCTGGCCGCTGGAGGCGCTCTTGCTTTGTGTGCCTCTGCAGGTCTTCCTGCACAGCTGTCAGTTACATGGTCCTACAGCATAGTTCCATCCTTTCTGTCCAAGTTCAGTGGATACTGTGATTTTTTACATGGAATAGGCTTTTATTTATTGCAAAGAAGCTAGACAATTCAAAGTAAGTAACCTATGGCCTAACAAATTTCATTTCTTGATCAGCACAGCTTTTAAAATGTGTTGCTTTTGGTCTAAATATGCAGATTCCTAATCATCCCCTAAGAAACAGGGAACCACTGCAAGGCAAACTGGGAGGATGTTTAGGATTGTTCTGAGGCGTGAAAGCCACTGAAATTCACACATGAGGGTGTAGAAAAGGGAATCCGTCTGTTTGATCCCTCTGTGTTCTGGGTATAACTTGGTCCTCATTAAATTGCACCATTCTTGGCATCAGAGAAAACTGGAGATGAATCCCAGTTCCATTCCTCATTATGAGGTCATAATGAATGTGTTTCTAACTCATTTAAGAATCATGGCAAAGTGCTTGTAATTCAAAAGAGAGGGTCATTATGAGGCTGCTATAAGGTAAGTGTGGACGCAATGCCTATAATTTTGTAAGTGTTCAACATATGGAGAAGAAGGATTATTTCTGTCTCATTTAATTTTTAGAGCAAGTTTATAAAATTGATGATACTCACATTTTTGAAATAATCAAACCAAGGACCAGAAAGACCAAACAAATCACCACAGTCACAAAGCAATTCACAATACATTTACTGCATAGATTTTACTTTAAAGTACCAATGATAATCACATTGAAAATCTTGTATTTTGTGGTGGTGTTCTCTTACATAAACATTTCAGATTGTTGAAACTATAAATTCTAACTTGCTCTATCAAAGTGATCATTAGAAAATGTGATGTACTTGGTGTGTACAGTTTAGAAAATTTCTATGTTTAGTCTTCTGAATTTGACTGCATATGTATATTATTTTAAAAGCAGTAAAACAAATATATGTGGATTGAATGTATATATATGTATATATAAAATATGACTTGACATTATAGAGTAGGCATAGCTCATGGAAAGCCGTTTTTCTGAAAGCACCTGCAGAAATCTGGTTTTTTTCATTTCTAAAAATCTCAGAGCTTATAGGGGAAAGGGGGTTCTAGGAATCCCAGATAGTGCATGAGGCAGATTTGGTTTCAGTAATTTTAACATTATTCACGGTAAGATGATGATCGCTAGGAACATCATCACAGTGGGAAACCTGAAATCTCCTAGCAGCCAGCAATGAATAAAGGTGGGGCGGGGCTGCTGGCAGGGTGGGACCAATGGCAGGGTGGGGCTTTGGAGCCATGTGCCTGTGCTCTCATGTTCCAAGTTTAGGGGGAGGCGTGCAGGGGACTCTGGTTGTGATTGTTTCCTCTTAACCAGGATGCAGTCTGAATGGCAGGGCAACTGGCCTTTACCTGGCGACCTTCACTGGGTGCCCTCATTGGTTGCCTTGGCTTGGCACCCTCAGTTGGTGGCCTTGAGTTGTTGGGCAGCAGCGGAAGGAGCTCCATCGATGTTCTCTCCTCCCACAGTCACAGCTCTCAGGCTTGACTGGATGTTGCATCCAGGCCCATTCTGAATAAACCAGGCAGGGTGATGGCTGTTGCAGTAGGTCAGCTCAGGGTGACCAGGTGAGGCAGGGTGGGGCTGTTAGTAGTGTGCAGCTCCATGGCCTGGGTGCTGCCTGTGCCACCCATGCCTATGCGGGGAAGAGGTGACAGGTGCTAAGCTCTGCAGACATGGGGGCCAGTGAATGCCCAAGCTGCCTGAGATGTGCTGAGCTGCCCCTTGTGGATCACACTGACCACATGCACCAAAGACAGCCCAAGGCATGGCCAGGCAGGGATTCTGTGGAGCCATTCTGGGCTCTGACATCTATGAGTGGGTGCCCAACCATGGCACAGTCCCAGCAGAAAGGAGCAGAGGTGTGTAGAACAACCTGTCCCCCAGTTCCAGCCTGAAATGGGGCAAGCTCAGGGTGCAGTGGGAAGAGACGTCCTGACACTCTGAGATCTACCACACCGAGGTGGCAGTACGCCAGACCTCGCTGCTGTGGAGCCTGCACAGTTGAATTTCGGAGCCGGAGAGGGTCCTGACTTGCAGCACATTGGCGACCAGAAGACATCCAAAGGTAGGGAGGTGACAGACACTGCTTGGCCTCAGGAGCTTATCTGGCCATTGTTCACCCAAGGTTGCACCTGGAGGCATCCACAGCATGGGGCTCCTCCCTCCTTCCCCTAGTTAGCTTTCTTAGGCTCAGGCCACACAAAAAAGGACTGGGTCTGCCTTGCCTTCCCAGCTTATCTTAGTTCCCTGCTGGGACCATCCAGTTTTCTTCCTCCTTCCTACCCCAGTACTGAGTTCTGGGACCTCTTCTGCTTCCCCCAGGCTGGCCAGAAACTAAGTTTCTAAACTACAAAATGAATGCTCCAGATTTCATTGCTGTAGAGGAAATGTCTAACATTTCTTCTATTTAAACTCAAATACCCCTATTGGGACTCAGAATTTCATATGTTGATTTCTATACTAGAGCTCTGTATTTTCAAGCAAGGTCAGAGGGTCAGAGGTATGTCCTCTTGATTCTAATCATTTAAAAAAAATTTTTTTTGGTAGAGGCAGGGTCTCACTGTGTTCCCCAGGCTGGTCTCTAACTCCTGGTGTCAAGTGATTCACCCACTTTGGCTTCCAACATTGCTGGGCTGACAGGCAAGAACCAGCACACCTGGACTTTGGAGGTGCTCTTGCTTTGCAGGTTTCCACTGCTCCTCCTACCCAGCTGTCAGTGAGATGCTCCTGAGGCATCATTCCAAAGTTTTCTAGACAAATTCAGTGAATCCTGTGATATTTTACATGTAATAATACCTTTGCTTATTGCAGATAAGCTAGAAAAATTACAGTTAGTAACCTAGGCCCTAGAAATGTTCACATCTATTTTTTTTGTTTTTGAGATAAAATTTTGCTCTTGTTGCCCAGGCTGGAGTGCAATGACAGCATCTTAGGTCATTGTAACCTCTGCCTCCTGGGTTCAAGTGTTTCTCCTGCCTTAGCCTTCTGAGTAGCTGGGATTAGAGGCATTCAGCACACACTCAGCTAATTTTGTCCTTTTTAGTAGAGATGGAGTTGCACCATGTTGGTCAGGCTTCTCTCAAACTCCTGACCTCAGGACATCTGCCCGCCCTGGCTTCCCAAAATACAGACCAGAGCCACCATCCCTGGCCAGAAGTTTCATTTCTCAATCAACAAACCTCTTTCTAAGGAGATGCTTGTAGTCTAAATATGCAGATTTCTAGTCATTTCTAAAAGGTAGGGAACCACGGCAAGGCAACCTGGGAGGGAGTTTAGGTTAATTCTGAGGTTGGGAAAGCCATTCAGATTCACACATAAGAGGGTAGAGAAAGGGCTTCCACATGTTTTGACTGCCTCCATGTGCTCAGTGTAACTTGGTCTTGGTTATTACGTTGCACTGCCTTTGGCATCAGAGAGAACTGGATTTGAATCCCAGTTCCATCACTCATTAGGACGTGATGATGAATGTGTTTTTGACTCCTCTGAACCTCAGTTTGCTCATCCATAAAAAAATGGTATTATGAGCCTTCCATATTATTAGAGTGTAAAAATTGGTGTGGACAAAATGCCTGTAATTTAAAGGATAGGGTTTTTAAAGGCTTCAATAAGGTAAGTGTGTAAAAATCTGGACACAATGCCTGTAATTTTGTAAGTCTTCATTCTATAGAGAAGGAGGATAATTTTTTTTTAATTTTTAGAGCAAGTTTATAAAAACTGGTGTTACTTATATTTTTGAGATAATCAAACCAAGGATCTGAAAGATTAAATGAGTCACAATAGTTACAGTGCGGTTCACAATACATTTATTGGGTCATTGAAAATAGCAATGCTGATCACATATCAAATCTTGTATTAAGAGAATGCTTTTCTCTTACAAAAGGCTCTTGTTTGTTGAAGCCATCGATTCTAAGTTGCTGTCTAAAGTGATCATTAGGAAACTGTGATAAACTTAGTGTATAAATTTAGAAAATGTGCTTTATTGTTCTTGTTAATTTGATTGAATATGTAGGTAAATTTCAAAAATGTATATGGAATATGTATGAATTGAATGCATATGTATATATATGAAAAAGATAATTAGACATCACACAGTAGACTTAGCTCATGGCAATTTTTTTTCTGAAAGCAGGTATAGAAATCTGTCATTTTTGTAGTTTGTAAAAAACTCAGAGGTTATAGAGGAAAGGAGGTTCTATAAATTCCACCTAGTGCAAGAGCCAGATTTGTCTTCAGGAATTTTAGAATAATTCATTGTAAGGTAATAATCCCTAGGAACTTCAACACAGTGAAAAACCTGAAAGCTCTTAGCAGCCAGGAATGAATGAAAAGTGGGATGCGGTGGCTGGCAGGGTGAGGCCTTGTGAGCCACGTGCCTGGTCTCTCAAGTTCCAAGTTGGCAAGGACACGTGGAGGGGACTCTGGGCCTGATTGTTTCCTCTTAACCAGGATACAGACTGGTTGTCGGGGCAACCCGCCCTCACCTGGTGGCCTTCAGAGGGTGCCTTCATTGGTTACCTTTGCTTAGTGCCCTCAGTTGGTGGCCTCAGTTGGTGCTCTTTCGTTGTTGGTCTTCAGTTGGTTTGGTAGCAGTGGAAGGAGAAGGAGCTCCGTCTGTGCTCTCTCCTCCTAAAGTCACAGTTCTCAGGCTTGTTGCACCTACCCACACTATAAATAAACCGGGCAGGTTCACGACTTTTACAGACAAGTCAACTCAAGGTAGGTGGGTGAGGTAAGATGTGAACTGCTAGTGGGATGCAGCCCTATGGCCAGGGTTGCCTGTGCCAGTGTGACTTTGCTGGGAAGAGGCAGCATGTTCTGACTTCTGCAGACATAGAAGCGAGTGAAGGCCCAAGCTGCCTGAGAACAGAGTTGCCCCAAGGGGACCACCCTGTAGTATCTCATATGCGCCAAAGGCAGCACCAGGCAGGGCCAAAGCAGGGGTTCTGTGAAGCCATCCTGGGACTCTGACATCTATGAGTGAGTGGCCAGAAAAGTCAGAGACACCAGAAAAGAGGAGCAGAGGCACCCAGAACATGCTGTCCCACAATGCCAGACCCAGGCAGGGCCAGTTCACAGTGTGGTGAGATAAACCATCCTGATACTCCAAGATCTAGGAGGTGGAGGTGGGGGTGTCTCCTGACCCGACTGCTTTGGGGCCTGCCCAGTTGGGTTTGGGAGCTGGCCAGGGTCCTGACTTGCAGCACGTTGGCAACCAGAAGATGACCAAAGGTAGGGAGGCAAGAAATACTGCTTGGCTCATCTATATGTTATGTTATGCTCATCTATAAAAAGTTGTATACAGTGGGAGCTCCTCAGGCCATTGCTGACTCAAGGTTCCCCCAAAAGACATCCACAGCCTGGAGCTCTCCCTCCTGTCCCTCATTACCTTTGGCAGCCCCAGGCCCCAAGCAGGAGGACTGGCTCTGCCTCGAATCCCCACCCATTCTTCTTTCTTCCTATCCCAATGCCCATTTCAGTTTCCTCTTCACCTTGTCACAGGCTACCTCAATACTAGTTGTCAAAATTTAAAATGTAAGCTACAAATTTCTTTGGATAGAGAAAATGTCTGACAGCTTTTCTGGTTAAACTTAAGTAGCAATGGTGAGACTTACAATTTCATATCTTAAATTCTACACCATGACCCTTTATCATAAAGTGATGCTAGAGGCACTATTCTGGATTCTCATCTTATAAAATGATTTTCTGTGGAGACAGGGTCTCACTGTGTTACCCAGGCTAGTCCCAAACTCCTGGCCTCAAGTGACCTGCCCACCTTGGTCTCCCACATTGCTAGGGTGACAGGCAGGAGCCACCACACCTGGCCTTTGGAGGTGCTCTTGTTTTGTGTGTATAGTCTGGTCTTCCTGCACAGCTGTCAGGAAGATGCTCCCACAGCATGGTTCTAAATCTCTCTGCAAACTCAGTGGATCCTGTGACTTTTTTACATGGAGTAGCCCTGTGTTTTATAGAAAAGCTAGACAAATCATGGTTAATAACCTAGGGCCTAGAAAATTTTATTTCATGATCAACACATCTTTTGGCCTAGAAAATGTCTTTTCTTAATCAAAGCACCTGTTTATAAGGAGCTAAATATGCAGCTTAGTAATCATCCCCGAGAAAAAGGGAACCACTGCAAGGCAACCTGGGAGGGAGTTTAGGATTGTTCTGAGGCCATAAAAAACAAGGGAATTTACACAAAAATGGGTAGAGAAAGGGAACCCACGTGCTGTGACCCCTCCATCTGCTGGGCACAATTCATCTTTGTTATATTGCACAACCTTTGGTGTCAGGAAGAATGAAATTGGAATCCCAACTCAGTCACTCATTATGACATGGTAGGAATGTGTTTCTAACGCCAGCGAGCCTCAGTTTGCTCATCTATAACGGACGGGAGTGTTATCTGACTTCCATAAGTTATGTGTATAAAACTCTGGCCACAATGCCTGTAATTTAAAACATGAGGTGGTTCTGGGGCTTCCATAAGGTAAGTGTGTAAAATCTGGGCATAATGACTGTAATTTAGAACTTGGGGTTGTTATGTGGCCTCCGTAAGGTAAGTGTGCGAAAATCTGGACACGACGTCTATAAATTGGTAAGTGTTCAATATATGCAGAAGGAGAATTATTTTTCCCTCATCTAATTTTTAGAGTAAGTTTATAAATTGTTGTTATATTTTGCAGTTAACCGAACTAAGAATCAGAGAGATTGAATAAGTCACCATAGTCACAAAGCAGTTCACAATACATACTGGGTAATTGTTATTTATTACAGCAAGGAGGATCATGTTTAAAATACTGTATTATGTGGTGGCTTCTCTTACATAAGCCTCTTTCTTATGGAAGAAACCATGAATTTTAAGTTGTTCCATGAAAGTGAGCAATAGAAAATTGTGATAAAGCTTAGTGTATACATTTTAGAAAATTTCCTCTATTAGTCTTAATTTGCTTGAATGTGTGTGTTATTTTCAAAAAATGTAAATTGAACATATACCTATTGAATACATTTGTGTATATGTATATGCTTAAAACTTTACATTAGAGGGTAGCCATAAGTCATGGCAATGTTTTTTTCTGAAAGCACATGCAGAAATCTGTCATTTCTCTAGTTTCTATGAAGCTTAGAGGTTATGGGGGAAAGGGGGTTCTATGAATCCAAGACACTGCATGAGGCACATTTGATTTCAGTAATTGTAGCATGATTCGTTATAAGGTGATGATCCCTAGGAACCTCAGCACAGTGAGAAACCTGAAAGCACCCAGCAGCCAGCAATGAATGAACGCTGGGGCAGGACCAATGGCAGGGTGTGGCCTTGGAGCCATGTGCCTGTGCTTTCAAGTTCCGAGTTTAGGGAGAGGCATGCAGGGGACTCTGGGCCTGATTGTTTCCTCTAAACCAGAATGCAGTCTGGATGGCAGGGCAACTGGCTTTCACCCAGTGACCTTCACTGGGTGCCCTCATTGGTTGCCTTGGCTTGGCACCCTCAGCTGGTGGTCTTCAGTTGGTGGCCTTGAGTTGTTGGGCAGCCACAGAAGGAGCTCCATCAATGTTCTTTCCTCCCACAGTCACAGCTCTCAGGCTTGTTGCATCCAGGCCCATTCTGATTAACCAGGCAGGGTGGTGGCTGTTGCAGATAAGTGGGCTCAGGGTGAGCCGGTGAGGCAGGGTGGGGGCTGCTAGTTATATGCAGGTCCATGGCATGGTGCTACCTATGCCAGATATGCCTATGCTGGGAAGAGGTGGCAGGTGCTGAGCTCTGCAGACATGGGGGCTAGTGAAGGCCCAAGCTGCCTGAGATGTGCTGAGCTGTCCCTTGTGGATCATGCTGACCACACGCCCCAAAGACAGCCCAAGGAGGCTTTGCTGGTGCAGGGGTTCATTGGAGCCAATCTGGGCTCTGACATCTGAGTTGGTTGCTAACAAAGAGCCAAGCCCCAGCAGAGAGGAGCAGAGGTGCCCAGAACACACTGTACCCCAATGCCAGCCCCAAGTGGGGCAAGCTCAGGGTGCAGTGGGAAGAGACGTCCTGACACTCTGAGATCTACCACACCGAGGTGGCAGTACGCCAGACCTCGCTGCTGTGGAGCCTGCACAGTTGAATTTCGGAGCCGGAGAGGGTCCTGACTTGCAGCACATTGGCGACCAGAAGACATCCAAAGGTAGGGAGGCGACGAACACTGCTTGGCCTCAGGAGCTTCTCTGGCCATTGGTGACCCAAGGTTACGCCTGGAGGCATCCATAGCATGGGGCTCCTCCCTCCTTCCCCTAGTTAGCTTTCTTAGGCTCAGGCCACAAGCAAAAGGACTGGGTCTGCCTTGCCTTCCCAGCTTATCTTGGTTCCCTGCTGGGTCCATCCAGTTTCCTTCTTCCTTCCTACCCCAATGCTGAGTTCTGGGACCTCTTATGCTTCCCCCATGCTGGCCAAAAACTAAGTTTCTAAACTACAAAATGAATGCTACATATTTTATTGCTGGAGAGGAAATGTCTAACATTTCTTCTCTTTAAACTTAACTAGCCCTATTGGGAGTCACAATTGCATATCTTGATTTCTGGACTACAGCTCCGTATTTTCAAGCAAGGTCAGAGGGTCAGAGGTATGTCCTCTTGATTCTAATCATTAAAAAATTGTTTGTAGAGGCAGGGTCTCACTGTGTTCCCCAGGCTGGTCTCAAACTCCTGGTGTCAAGTGATCCACCCACCTTGGCTTCCCACATTGCTGAGCAGATAGGAAAGAACCAGCACACCTGGACTTGGGAGGTGCTCTTCCTTTGCGTGTTTCCACTGCTCCTCCTACCCAGCTATCAGTAAGATGCTCCTACAGCATCATTCCAAATCTTTCTGGAAAAATTTAGTGGATCCTGTGACATTTTACATGTAATGTTACCTTTGCTTATTGCAGATAAACTGGACAATTTACAGTTAGTAACCTAAGTCCTATAAATTTTTGTATCTTTCTTGAGATAAAATTTTGCTCTTATTGCCCAGTCTGGTGTGTAGTAACATGATCTTATATTGTTGCATCTTCTGCCTCCTGGGTTCAAGCAATTCTCCTACCTTAGCCTTCTGAGTAGCTGAAATTAGAGGCATTTGCCAGACTCTCGGCTAATTTTGTGCTTTTTAGTAGAGATGGAGTTTTACCGTGTTGGTCAGGCTTGTCTCATACTCCTGACCTCAGGACATCTGCCCACCCTGGCTTCCCAAAGTACAGGTGAGAGCCACCATCCCTGGCAAAACGTTTTATATCTCCATTAGCAATCCTGTTTCTAAGCAGATGCTTGTAGTCTAAATATGCAGAATCCTAGTCATTTCCAAGAGAAAAGGAACCACTGCAAGGCAACCTAGGAGGGAGTTTAGGATGGTTCTGAGGCCATGAAAGCCATTCAAATTCACACATAAGAGGGTAGAGAAAGGGAATCCACATGTTCCGACTGCCTCCATGTCCTGAGTATAACTTGGTCATTGTTAAGTTGCAGTACCTATGGCGTCAGGGAGAACTGGATTTGAATCCCAGTTCATCACTCATTAGCACGTGATGCTGACTGTGTTTTTAACTCCTCTGACTTTCATTGTAGTCATCTATAAAAGATGGGATTATTTTGAGGCTTCCATAATATAAGTGTGTAAAAATTGGTGTGAGCAAAATGACTGTAATTTAAAGGATAGGGTTGTTTTAAGGCTTCAATAAGGCAAGTGTGTAAAAATCTGGACACAATGCCTATAATTTTGTAAGTCTTAATTATATACAGAAGGAGGATTATTTTTCTCTCATTTCATTTTTAGAGCAAGTTTATAAGACTGGTGTTGCTCATATTTTTGACATAATCAAACCAAGGATCCAAAAGATTCAATGAGTCACTATAGTCACAGAGCAGTTCACAATACATCTACTGGGCAACTGCCTGTGGAAAGTAGCAATGGTGATCACAGTTAAAATCTTGTATTAACAGAATGCTTTTCTCTTACATAAGCCTCTTTGTTTTTGAAGCCATAGATTCTAAGTTGATGTATCAAAGTGATCATTGGGAAACTGATATATTAGTGTATAAATTCTAGAAAATGTCCTCTATTACTCTTATTAATTTGATTGAATATGTGTGTTATTTTTAAAATTGTAAATGGAATATATATGGATTGAATGAATGTGTATATATGTGAAATATAATTAGACATCACACAATAGACTTAGCTCATGGCAATTTTTTTTTCTAAAAGCACCTGCAGAAATCTGTCATTTTTATAGTTTGTAAAAAACACTGAGATTATGTGGGAAAGGAGGTTCTATGAATTCCAGCTAGTGCAAGAGCCAGATTTGGCTTCAGGAATTTTAGCATAATTCATTGTAAGGTGATAATCACTAGGAAGTTCAAAACAGTGAGAAACCTGAAAGCTCTTAGCAGCCAGGAATGAATGAAAGGTGGGATACAGTGGCTGGCAGGGCAGGGCTCGGCCTTCTGAGCCACATGCCTGGTATCTCAAGTTCCAAGTTGGCAGGGACACATGGAGGGGACTCTGGGCCTGATTGTTTCATCTTAACCAGGATGCGGTCTGGTTGGCAGGGCAACTCGCCTTCACCTGGTGGCCTTCAGAGGGTGCCTTCATTGGTTGTCTTTGTTCAGTGCCCTCAGTTGGTGCTCTTCATGGTCTTCAGTTGGTTTGGTAGTGGTGGAAGGAGAAGGAGCTCCATCTGTGCTCTCTCCTCCTAAAGTCACAGTTCTCAGGCTTGTTGCACCTACCCACACTATAAATAAACCAGGCAGGTTCACAACTTTTACAGACAAGTCAACTCAAGGTAGGTGGGTGAGGTAAGGTGCGAGATGCTAGTGGAATGCAGCACTATGGCCAGAGTTGCAGCACATTGGCGACAAGAAGACAACAAAAGGTAGGGAGGCAACGAATACTGCTTGGCTCATCTGTATGTTATGTTATGCTCATCTATAAAAGATTGGATACAGCAGGAACTCCTCAGGCCACTGCTAACTCAAGGTTCCCCCCAAAGACATCCACAGCCTGGGGCTCTTCCTCCTGACCCTAGTTAGCTTTCCCAGCCCCAGGCCCCAAGCAGGAGGACTGGCTCTGCCTCGAGTCCCCCCCCATTCTTCTTTCTTCCTATCCCAATGCCCAGTTCAGTTTCCTCTTCATCTTGCCTGAATGCTAAGTTTTCAAAATTTAAAATGTAAGCTACAAATGTCATTGCTATAGAGAAAATGTCTGACAGCTTTTCTAGTTAAACTTGAGTAGCAACTGTGAGACTTACAATTTCATATCTTGAATTCCAGACCATGCCCCTATATCATAAAGCAATGTTAGAGGCACTCATCTTGATTCTAATCATATAAAAAAAAATTTTGTAGAGACAGATTCTCACTGTGTTACCCAGGCTAGTCTCGAACTCCTGGCCTCAAGTGATCCATCCACCTTGGCCTCCCACATTGCTACGGTGACAGGCAAGAACCACCACCCCTGGCCCTTGGAGGTGCTCTTGCTTTGTGTGTATAGTCTGGTCTTCCTGCACAGCTGTCAGGAATATGCTTCTGCAGCATAGTTCTAAATCTTTCTGCAAATTCAGTGGATCCTGTGATGTTTTTTACATGGAATAGCCCTGTGTTTTATAGAAAGGCTAGACACTTCACAGTTAGTAACCTAGGGCCTAGAAAATTTTATTTCATGATCAACACATCTCTTGGCCTAGAAAATGTCTTTTCTTAATCAAAGCACCTGTTTATAAGGAGCTAAATATGTGGTCTAAATATGCAGCTTAGTGATCATCCCCAGGAAGAAGGGGACCACTGCAAGGCAACCTGGGAGGGAGTTTAGGATTGTTCTGAGGCCATAAAAAACCATGAAACTCACAAAAAAAAAAATGGGGGTAGAGAAAGGGAATCCACATGTTTTCACTCCTCCATCTGCTGGGCACAATTAATCTTTGTTATGTTGCACAACTTTGGTGTCAGAAGGAATCGGATTTGAATCCCAATTTCATCACTCATTATGACATGGTAGGAAATGTGTTTCTAACTCCAGTGAGCCTCAGTTTGCTCATTTATAAAGGATGGGAGTGTTATATACCTTCCATAAGGTATGTGTGTAAAAATCTGGCCATAATGCCTGTAATTTAAAACATGAGGTTGTTCTGGGGCTTCCATAAGGTAAGTGTGTAAAATCTGGGCATAATAAATGTAATTTAAAACATGCAGTTGTTATGTGGCCTTTGTAAGGCAAATACATAAAAATCTGGATACGATGTCTATAAATTTGTAAGTGTTCAATATATGCAGAAGGAGAATTATTTTTCTCTCATCTAATTTTTAGAGCAAGTTTATAAAATTGTTGTTGTATTTTGAGGTTAATCAAACTAAGAATCAGAGAGATTAAATATGTCACCATAGTCACAAAGCAGTTCACAATACATACTGGGTAATTGTTATTTATTACAGCAATGAGGATCACATTTAAAATACTGTATTATGTGGTGGTTTTCTCTTCCATAAGCCTGTTTCCTTGTTGAAACCATGAAGTTTAAGTTGCTCTATGAAAGTGATCAATAGAAAATTGTGATGAAGCTTAGTGTATAAATTTTAGAAAATTTCTTCTACTATTCTTGTTAATTTGCTTGAATGTGTGTGTCATTTTCAAAAAACAGAAGTTGAACATATATGTATTGAATACATTTGTGCATATGTATGTGTTTAAAACTTTACATTATAGGGTAGGCTTAAGTCATAGCAAAGTTTTTTTTCTGAAAGCACATGCAGAAATCTATCATTTTTCTAGTTTCTATGAAGCTCAGAGGTTATGGGGGAAAGGGGGTTCTATGAATCCAAGACACTGCATGAGGCAGATTTGGTTTCAGTAATTGTAGCATCATTCATTATAAGGTGATGATCCCTAGGAACCTCAGCACAGTGAGACACCCGAAACCTCCCAGTAGCCAGCAATGAATGAAAGGTGGGGTGGAGCCTATGGCAGGGCAGGGCCTTAGAGCCATGTGCCTGTGCTCTCAAGTTCCAAGTGTAGGGGGAGGTATGCAGCGGACTCTGGGCCTGATTGTTTCCTCTTAACCAGGATGCAGTCTGGATAGCAGGGCAACTGGCCTTCACCTGGTGGCCTTCACTGGGTACCCTCATTGGTTGCCTTGGCTTGGCACCCTCAGCTGCTGGTCTTCAATTGGTGGCCTTGAGTTGTTGGGCAGCAGCAGAAGGAGCTCCACCGATGTTCTTTCCTCCCACAGTCACAGCACTCAGGCTTGTCGCATCCAGGCCCATTCTGAATAAACCAGGCAGGGTGGTGGCTGTTGCAGATTAGTCGGTTCAGGGTGAGCAGGTGAGATGGGGGGGGGCTGCTAGTGACATGCAGCTCCATGGCCTGGTGCTACCTGTGCCAGCCATGCCTATGCTGGGAAGAGGTGGCAGGTGCTGAGGTCTGCAGACGTGGGGGCCAGTGAAAGCCCAAGCTGCTTGAGATGCGCTGAGATGCCCTTTGTGGATCACACTGACCACATGCACCAAAGACAGCCCGAGGCATGGCCATGCAGGGATTCTGTGGAGCCATTCTGGCCTCTGATATCTATTAGTGGGTACCCAACAAAGGCACAGTCCCAGCAGAGAGGAGCAGAGGTGCCCAGAACAACCTGTACCCCAGTTCCAGCCCCAAATGGGGGCAAACTCAGGGTGTCGTAGGAAGAGACGTCCTGACACTCTGAGATCTACCACGTGGAGGTGGCAGTATGCCAGACCTCACTGCTTTGGAGCCTGCATGGTTGGATTTGGGAGCCGGAGAGCATCCTGACTTGCAGCACATTGGCAACCAGAAGACACCCAAAGGTAGGGAGGTGACAGACACTGCTTGGCCTCAGGAGCTTCTCTGGCCATTGCTCAACCAAGGTTGCACCTGGAGGCATCCACAGCATGGGGCTCCTCCCTCCTTCCCCTAGTTAGCTTTCTTAGGCTCAGGCCACACAAAAAAGGACTGGGTCTGCCTTGCTTTCCCAGCTTATCTTGGTTCCCTGCTGGGTCCATCCAGTTTCCTTCCTCCTTCCTACCCCAATGCTGAGTTCTGGGACCTCTTCTGCTCCCCCACGCTAGCCAGAAACTAAGTTTCCAAACTGCAAAATGCTACAGATTTCGTTGCTATAGAGGAAATGTCTAACATTTCTTCTATTTAAACTTAAATAGCCCTATTGGGACTCACAATTTCATATCTTGATTTCTGGACTAGAGCTCTGTATTCTAAAGCAAGAACAGAGGGTCAAAAGTACTCTTCTTGATTCTAATCATTAAAAAATTGTTGGTAGAGGCAGGGTCTCACTGTGTTCCCTAGGCTGGTCTCTAACTCCTGGTGTCAAGTGATCCACCCGCCTTGGATTTTCACATTGCTGAGCAGATAGGCAAAACCAGCACACCTGGACTTTGGAGGTGCTCTTGCTTTGCGTGTTTCCTACAGCATCATTTGCTCCTACAGCATCATTCCAAATCTTTCTTCACAAATTCAGTGGATCCTGTTATGTGTTACAAGTAATGTTACCTTGGCTTATTGCAAATAAACAAGACAATTCACAGTTAGTAACCTAGGCCATAGAAATTTTTATATCTTTTTTGAGATAAAATTTTGCTCTTATTCTCCAGGCTAGAGTGTAATGAGACAATCTTAGGTTGTTGCAACCTCTGCCTCCTGGGTTCAAGCAATTTTCCTACCTTAGCCTTCTGAGTAGCTGGAATTAGAGGCATTTGCCAGACTCTTGGCTAATTTTGTCCTTTTTAGTAGAGATGGAGTTTCACCATGTTGGTCAGGCTTGTCTCAAACTCCTGGCCTCAGGACATCTGCCCGCCCTGGCTTCCCAAAGTTCAGGTGAGAGCCACCACCCCTGGCAAAAAGTTTCACTTCTCCATCATTAAGCCTGTTTCTAAGGAGATGCTTGTAGTCTAAATATGCAGATTCCTAGTCATTTCCAAGAGAAAAGGAACCACTGCAAGGCAACCTGGGAGGGAGTTTAGGATGGTTCTGAGGCCATGAAAGCCATTCAAATTCACACATAAGAGGGTAGAGAAAGGGAATCCACATGTTCTGACTGCCTCCATGTCCTGAGTATAACTTGGTCATTGTGAAGTTGCAGTACCTATGGCGTCAGGGAGAACTGGATTTGAATCCCAGTTCATCACTCATTAGCACGTGATGCTGACTGTGTTTTTAACTCCTCTGACTTTCATTGTAGTCATCTATAAAAGATGGGATTATTTTGAGGCTTCCATAATATAAGTGTGTAAAAATTGGTGTGAGCAAAATGACTGTAATTTAAAGGATAGGGTTGTTTTAAGGCTTCAATAAGGTAAGTGTGTAAAAATCAGGGCACAATGCCTATGATTTTGGAAGTCTTCATTATATACAGAAGGAGGATTATTTTTCTCTCATTTAATTTTTGGAGCAAGTTTATAAAGCTGGTGTTACTCATATTTTTGACATGATCAAACCAAGGATCTGAAAGATTCTATGAGTCACTACAGTCACAAAGCAGTTCACAGTACATCTACTGGGTAACTGCCTGTTGAAACTAGCAATGGTGATCACATTTAAAATCTTATATTAACAGAATGCTTTTCCCTTACATAAGCCTCTTCGTTTTTGAAGCCATAGATTCTAAGTTGATGTATCAAAGTGATCATTGGGAAACTGTGATATATTAGTGTACAAATTTTAGAAAATGTCCTCTATTACTCTTAATTTGATTATGTGTTATTTTCAAAATTGTGAATGGAATATGTATGGATTGAATGTATATGTATATATACATAAAATATAATTAGACATCAAGGAGTAGACTTAGCTCCTGGCAATTTTTTTTCTGAAAGCACCTGCAGAAATCTGTCATTTTTGTAGTTTGTAAAAAACTCAGAGGTTATGGGGTAAAGGAGGTTCTATGAATTCCAGCTAGTGCAAGAGCCAGATTTGGCTTCAGGAATTTTAGCATAATTCATTGTAAGGTGATAAACCCTAGGAACTTCAAGACAGTGAGAAACCTGAAAGCTCTTAGCCAGGAATGAATGAAAGGTGGGATGCGGTGGCTGGCAGGGTGGGGCCTTGTGAGCCACATGCCTGGTATCTCAAGTTCCAAGTTGGCAGGGACACATGGAGGGGACACTGGGCCTGATTGTGTCCTCTTAACCAGTATATGGCCTGGTTGGCAAAGCAACCCGCCTTCACCTGGTGGCCTTCAGAGGGTGCCTTCATTGGCTACCTTTGTTTAGTGCCCTCAGTTGGTGCTCTTCAGTTGTTGGTCTTCAGTTGGTTTGGCAGTGGTGGAAGGAGAAGGAGCTCCATCTGTGCTCTCTCCTCCTAAAGTCACAGTTCTCAGGCTTGTTGCACCTAGGCCCACTCTGAATAAACCAAGCAGGTTTGCAACTTTTACAGACAAGTCAACTCAAGGTAGGTGGGTTAGGTAAGCTGCGAGCTCTAGTGAGATGCAGCCCTATGGCCAGGGTTGCCCATGCCAGTATGACTTCGCTGGGGAGAGGCAGCATGTTCTGAGCTCTGCAGACATAGAAGCAAGTGAAGGCCCAAGCAGCCTGGGAAGAGCAGAGTTGCCCCAAGGGGACCATGCTTAAGTATCTCATGTGCACCAAAGGCAGCACCAGGCAGGGCTGAAGTAGGGGTTCTAAGAAGCCATTTATGGGTGAATGGCCAGAAAAGGCAGAGACACCAGAAGAGAGGAGCAGAGGAGCCCAAAACATGCTGCCCCACAATGCCAGACCCAGGCAGGGCCAGCTCACAGTGTGGTGAACAGAACCATCCTGATGTTCCAAGATCTATGAGGTGGAGGTGGCCAGAGCTCCTGACCTGACTGCTTTGCGGCCTGCTGAGTTGGGTTTGGGAGCTGGCCAGGGTCCTGACTTGCAGCACATTGGCGACAAGAAGACGACAAAAGGTAGGGAGGCAACGAATACTGCTTGGCTCATCTATATGTTATGTTATGATCATCTAAAAAAGATTGGATACAGCAGGAGCTCCTCAGGCCACTGCTGACTCAAGGTTCCCCCCAAAGACATCCACAACCTGGGGCTCTCTCTCCTGCCCCTAATTAGCTTTCCCAGCCCCAGGCCTCAAGCAGGAGGACTGGCTCTGCCTCGAATCCCCACCCATTCTTCTTTCTTCCTATCCCAATGCCCAGTTCAGTTTCCTCTTCATCTTGCCCCAGGCTGCCTGAAAACTGGGTTTTCAAAAAACAAAATGTAAGCTATAGATTTCATTGCTGTAGAGAAAGTCTCTGACAGCTTTTCTAGTTAAACTTAAGTGTCACGGTGAGACTCAAAATTTCGTATATTGAATTCTACACCAGACCTCTTTATGATAAAGCAATGTTAGAGGCACTCTTCTTGATTCCAATCATATGATTTTTTGTAGAGACAGGGTCTCACTTTGTTGCCCAGACTAGTCTCCAACTCCTGGCCTCAAGTGATCCATCCACCTTGGCCTCTCACATTGCTAGGGTGACAGGCAGGAGCCACCACACCTGGCCTTTGGAGGTGCTCTTGCTTTCTGTGTTTCGGCTGGTCTTCCTGCACAGCTGTCAGGAAGATGCTCCTGCAGCATAGTTCTAAATCTTTCTGCACAAATTCTATGGATCCTGTGATTTTTTTACGTGGAATAGCAATGTATATTTTAGAAAAGCTAGACAATTCACAGTAACCTGGGGCCTAGAAAATTTTATTTCATGATCAACACATCTCTTGGTCTAGAAATTGTCTTTCTTAATCAAAGCACCTGTTTATAAGGAGCTAAATATGTGGTCTAAATATGCAGCTTAGTAATCATCCCCAAGAAAAAGGGAACCACTGCAAGGCAACCTGGGAGGGAGTTTAGGATTGTTCTGAGGCCATAAAAACCAATGAAATTCACACATGAAAGGGTGGAGAAAGGGAACCCACGTGTTGTGACTCCCTCAATATGCTGGGTACAACTCAGTCTCTGTTACGTTGCATCACCTTTGCTGTCAGACAGAATGGAATTTGCATCTGGTTTCCGTCACTCATTATGATGTGGTGGGGAATGTGTTTTTATCTTGGTTGAGCCTCAGTCTGCTCATTAATAAAAGATGGGAGTGTTATGTGACTTCCATAAGGTATGTGTGTAAAAATCTGGCCATAATGACTGTAATTTAAAACATGAAGCTGTTACATGGCCTTCATAAGGTAAATGTTTAAAAATCGAGGCATAATGCCTATAATTTTAAAGCTGAGGTTGCTATGTGACCTCCATAAGGTAAGTGTGTAAAAATCTGGGCATATTGTCTGTAATTTAAAACATGGGGTTGTTATGTGACCTCCATAAGGTAAGTGTGTAAAAATCTGACCATAATGACTGTAATTTAAAATACGAAGTTGTGGCTTCCATAAGGTAAGTGTGTAAAAATCTGGGCATATTGTCTGTAACTTAAAACATGGGGTTGATATGTGACCTCCCTAAGGTAAGTGTGTAAAAATCTGAACATATTGTCTGTAATTTAAAACATGGGGTTGTTATGTGGCTTCCTTAAGGTAAGTGTGTAAAAATCTGACCATAATGACTGTAATTTAAAATACGAAGCTGTGGCTTCCATAAGGTAAGTGTGTAAAAATCTGGGCATCTTGTCTGTGATTTAAAACATGGGGTTGTTATGTGGCTTCCTTAAGGTAAGTGTGTAAAAATCTGACCATAATGACTGTAATTTAAAATACGAAGCTGTGGCCTCCATAAGGTAAGTGTGTAAAAATCTGGGCATATTGTCTGTGATTTAAAACATGGGGTTGTTATTGGCTTCCTTAAGGTAAGTGTGTAAAAATCTGACCATAATGACTGTAATTTAAAATACGAAGCTGTTACGTGCTTCCATAAGGTAAGTGTGTAAAAATCTGGGCATCTTGTCTGTAATTTAAAACATGGGGTTGTTATGTGGCTTCCTTAAGGTAAGTGTGTAAAAATCTGACCATAATGACTGTAATTTAAAATACAAAGCTGTGGCCTCCATAAGGTAAGTGTGTAAAAATCTGGGCATATTGTCTGTGATTTAAAACATGGGGTTGTTATTGGCTTCCTTAAGGTAAGTGTGTAAAAATCTGACCATAATGACTGTAATTTAAAATACGAAGCTGTTACGTGCTTCCATAAGGTAAGTGTGTAAAAATCTGGGCATCTTGTCTGTGATTTAAAACATGGGGTTGTTATGTGGCTTCCTTAAGGTAAGTGTGTAAAAATCTGACCATAATGACTGTAATTTAAAATACGAAGCTGTGGCCTCCATAAGGTAAGTGTGTAAAAATCTGGGCATATTGTCTGTGATTTAAAACATGGGGTTGTTATTGGCTTCCTTAAGGTAAGTGTGTAAAAATCTGACCATAATGACTGTAATTTAAAATACGAAGCTGTTACGTGCTTCCATAAGGTAAGTGTGTAAAAATCTGGGCATCTTGTCTGTGATTTAAAACATGGGGTTGTTATGTGGCTTCCTTAAGGTAAGTGTGTAAAAATCTGACCATAATGACTGTAATTTAAAATACGAAGCTGTGGCCTCCATAAGGTAAGTGTGTAAAAATCTGGGCATATTGTCTGTGATTTAAAACATGGGGTTGTTATTGGCTTCCTTAAGGTAAGTGTGTAAAAATCTGACCATAATGATTCTAATTTAAAATATGAAGCTGTTATGTGGCTTCCATAAGGTAAGTGTGTAAAAATCTGGGCATATTGTCTGTAATTTAAAACATGGGGTTGTTATTGGCTTCCTTAAGGTAAGTGTGTAAAAATCTGACCATAATGATTCTAATTTAAAATATGAAGCTGTTATGTGGCTTCCATAAGGTAAGTGTGTAAAAATCTGGGCATATTGTCTGTGATTTAAAACATGGGGTTGTTATTGGCTTCCTTAAGGTAAGTGTGTAAAAATCTGACCATAATGACTGTAATTTAAAATATGAAGCTGTTACGTGCTTCCATAAGGTAAGTGTGTAAAAATCTGGGCATCTTGTCTGTGATTTAAAACATGGGGTTGTTATGTGGCTTCCTTAAGGTAAGTGTGTAAAAATCTGACCATAATGACTGTAATTTAAAATACGAAGCTGTGACTGCCATAAGGTAAGTGTGTAAAAATCTGGACATACTGTCTGTAATTTAAAACATGGGGTTTTTATGTGGCTTCTTTAATGTAAGTGTGTAAAAATATGGCCATAATAACTGTAATTTAAAATACAAAGATTTTACATGGCTTCCATAAGGTAAGTGTGTAAAAATCTGGCCATAATAAGTGTAATACGAAGATTTTACATGGCTTCCATAAGGTAAGTGTGTAAAAATCTGGGCATAATGCATTTAATTTAAAAGATGAGGTTGTTATGTAGCTTCCATAAGGTAAATGTGTAAAAATCTAAACACGATGCCTGTAAGTTTGTAAGTGTTCAATATATAGAGAAGGAGGATTCTTTTTCTCTAATTTTTAGAGCAAGTTTATAAAATTGGTATTATATTTTGTAGATAATCAAACCAAGAGTCAGAGAGAATAAGTAAGTCAGCATAGTCACAAAGCAGTTCACAATACATGCTGGGTAATTTTTATTTATTAGTAGCAATGAGGATCACATTTAAAATACTGTATTACTGGGTGGTTTTCTCTTCCATAAGCCTCTTTCTTTGTTGAAACCATAAAGTTGCTCTATGAAAGTGAACATTAGAAAACTGTGATGAACTTACTGTATAAATTTTAGGAAATTTTCTCTATTAGTCTTGTTAATTAGGTTGAATATGTGTGTTATTTTCAAAAAAGGTAAATTGAATATATATGTATTGAATATATACAACATTTTACATTGTAGGGTAGCCTTAAGTCATGGCAATGTGTTTTTCTGAAAGCACATGCAGAACTCTGTCATTTTTCTAGTTTCTATAAAGCTCGAGGTAATGGGGGAAAGGAGGTTCTACGAATCCCAGCTAGTGCATGAGGCGGATTTGGTTTCGGTAATTTTAACATCATTCATTGTAAGGTGATGATCTTTAGGTATGTCAGCACAGTGAGAAATCTGAAAGCTCCCAGCAGCCAGAAATGAGTGAAAGGTGGGGCGGGGCCTAGTGAGCCTTGTACCTACTCCCTCAAGTTCCAAGTCTGGGGGGAAGTGTGGAGGTGCCCTGGGCCTGATTGTTTCCTCTTAAGCAGGATGTGGTCTGGTTGGCAGGTCAACCGGCCTTCACCTGGTGGCCTTCACCTGGTGGCCTTCAGTGGTTGCCTTTGTTTTGTGCCCTCAGTTGGGGGTCTTCAGTGGGGGACCTTTAGTTCATGGGTGGTGGCGGAGGTTGAGGAGCTCCTCTGTGCTCTCTCCTCCCGCAGTCATAGCTGTCAGGTTTGGTGCATTCAGGCCCATTCTAAATCAACCAGGCAGGTTCTGACTGCTGCAGGAAGTCAGTTCAGGGTGGGCAGGTGAGGCATGGTGCAGGCTGTAAGTAGGGTACAGCCCCATGGTCCAGGGCTGTCCATGCCAGCCATGCCTTGCCAGGAGCAGTCAGTAGGTGTGGAGCTCTGCAGACATATGGGCAGGCAGCGGCCCAAACACCCAAGAAAATCAGAGTTGCCCCATGGGGACGACACTGAGCTGTTGCATGTGCACCAAAGTCAACCCCAGGCAGAGCCCCCACAGGGGTTCTGTGGAGCCATCCTGGAGCTCAGACATCTGAGTGGAAAGCCAGCAAAGGCACAGACCCCAGCAGAAAGGAGCAGAAGTGCCTGGAACATGCTGTACCCCAATGCCAGCCCCAAGCGGGACCAGCTCAGGGTGACGTGAAGGGAGAAGACCTGCAGCTCTGAGATCTACGAGGTGGAAGTGACAGTAGCACCAGACCCCACTGCTTTGGAGCCTGCCCAGTCGGATTTGGGAGCCAGTGAGGGTCGTGACTTGCAGCACATTGTCGACCAGAAGACAACCAAAGGTAGGGAGGCTATGGATACCCCTAGGCCTCAGGACCTCCTCTGGCCCTAATGATGTCGAGTTCCCCCCTGAGGCATCCACAGCCTGGGGCTCCTCCCTCTGCTCTAGTTAACTTTCCTAGGCCCAGGTCCCAAGCAGGAGGACTGGCTCTGCCTCGAGTCCCTACCCCTTCTCTTTCCCTGCTGTGTCCAGATGGTTTCTTTCCTCCTTCCTACCCCGATGCCCAGTTCTGGGCCCTCTTCTTCTTCCCACAGGCTGGCTGAAAGCTGTTTCAGAATATAAAATGTATGCTACAGATTTCATTGCTGTAGAGGAAATGTCTGCTTGCTTCTCTATTTAAACTTTGTTCTCTTCATTTCTTTTAACATTGGAATAATTAAGTCTCATGATAGATGTGCCTTTGTAACTTGAAAATACTGTACTCAATTTTCACAGTTTTCAAAATAATGTTTAATTTTTCTTTTGATAAATTTTTGGTGAACAGGTAGTATTCAGTTACTTGACTAACTTTTTTAGTGTTGATTTGTGAGGTTTTAGTGCATCTCACCCAAGCAGTACACACAGAATCCAATTTGTAGTGTCTTATCTTTCTTTCCCTTCTTAACGTTTCCCCCTCATCTTCCAAAGGCTGTTGTATTATTCTTTTTTGTTTAGTTTTTGAGACCGAGTCTCACTCTGTCACCCAGGCTGGGGTGCTGTGTTGCAATCTCTGCTCACCATAATCCTTACTTCCCGTGTTCATGCAGTCCTGCTTCAGCCTCCTGAGTACCTGAGATGAGAGAACCAGGCCTGGCTATATTTTTTTGTATTTTTAGTAGTGACAAAGTTTCACCAAATTGGCCGTTCTGTTTTCAAACCCTTACCTTAAATGATCTGCCCACCTCAGCCTGCCCTAGGGCTGAGATTACAGGAATGAACCACCAGGGCCCAGCCAAACTTTCCCTTTTTCTTTTCTTTATTTTCTAATCTCCTGAACTCATTCTTTGAGTTGTCATGTAGATTAACGGGTTTCTCAAATTACTGGAAAACTAGTTTAAGAAATAAACAGGCAGAACAGTGGTGCTGAGCATGGCTAAAGCGTCTCTGCGTTCACAGGGAGAGGAGCTGAAGACCTTCTGGCCTGGGCTGGGCGGCAGTTCAGTTGCAGGATAAACAGCCTGAGTCCTCTGCGGGATGCTTTGTAAAGAACCCAAGAAATCAACGTAGAGCTTCTTCTAGATGATTCTCTCGAAGCTGTAAACCTTCCATGAGTCAAGCTTTGTGTCAAAAGGACAAATTAAAAGGCAAGAAAATGAAATTGCAATATCAGGACTTTGGGGGTGAAGGGTGGGGAACACATCTAATAACAGATTATTTCAAGAAATCCCACATTTTGCCCAAATCTCTGTCTGTTGTGTCTCTGTCCAATGTACTCTTTGTTGAGGACAATATTCAAAAGTTGTTCCTGTACTCAGTGTGGTATGAAACTAGAAAAATACATTTCAGGGTAAACAACAAAGTAATTATTTTGAAGGTAAATAGGTTTTCAAGGTTTATTCTTCAATTATGAAAATGTTTTCTAAAGCAAAACATACTATTCCTCTCCATGATCCCAGTTAATCCAGACCCTCCTCAGTGGGGTTTATAAAATACCATACTCACCTTCCTGAACCTTCTGCTGAATCGCATATGAAATTTTGTCACAGAACCTCAGATTTTTCATAAGGTCTTGTGCACCATGCCATGCCTATGAATTGCTTTTTTTGCTTTATTTTTATTTTTATTTTTTTGTAAGAAGTAGCCAGCAACTATCTTTCTTTGCTTTAGAGATGTAAACTGCTTTGTATTTTCAGATTAACTTGCAATAATGTTGAAAATGCTTTGCTCACTCCCCTTTTCTCACTTCCTCCCTCTCAGGACCTATAAAAGGCAACAACCCCCAGCCCAATGGACAGATGCCCCAGGCTGCACATTCTGTCAGTGCTGTTCTTCAAGAGGCCCAGACACGTGCTGAAACATGGAAGGTGAGGCCAGCAAGCAGCTGACACACATTCCACCCAGCCACCCCTATAAGCCCATGTCCTAAACCATTCGCGTTGTTCCAATAACTGCTCTTTTAAAAAGAAAAAATAATCTTGGTCCAATGGCTCACACTGTAATCCCAGCACTTTGGGAGGCTGAGTTGTACAGAACAACTGAGGTCAGGAGTTCAAAACTAGGCTAGTCATCTTAGTGAAACCCCGTTTCTACTAAACATAGAAAATTAGCCAGGCATGGTGGCCAGCACCTGTAGTCCCAGCTACTAGGGAGGCTGAGGCAGAAACACTACTGGAAACAGGGAGAAGTAGGTTGCAGAGAGCCAAGATGGCTCCACAGAACTCCAGCCTGGGCAATAGAGGAAGATTCCGTCTCAAAAATAAATGATAAATAACAATAATAATAAAGGCCATTTGGAGTCATTTCACTATCCCAGAGCAAAGACCAGTTTATAAGCAACAAGGAGTCTCAATGACTGAGGGTGATTAGGGACAGAGGCTCCCCAGGGGGGCAGACAGAGACCTCACATATCTATGGCATGTCCTGTCCACTGGGGCTGTGTTGTCAAGAATAAAGAATGCTACTCAGGAGGCTGAGGCAGAGGATCCCTTGAGCCCGGGAGGTCGAGGCTGCACTGAGCCCAGATAGCATCACTGGACTCAGCCTGGGTGACAGAGTGAGACCCTGCCTTTATTAATTCATTAATTTAAAATTTCAGAAATTTTCCAACAGTGAATGCTGCTGTCATTTGGTTACAGGAAACAAAGCCAGCCCTATGGAAACACCATGAGCGCGGAGCACCCAAGGCCCCACACGCCCCCAAATCCAGCCTGCCCCCTCCCCATCCAGTGCGGTGGTCCTCAGACACCAGTGGCAGCCCTGCCATGCCCCCCAAGGCCAAGGGCACCAGCAGCAGGGGCTTCCCTACTCCATCCAATGACTTCCTGCCACTACCCCGACTCCTCCAGGCCACCACCTGGGGTCACCAAGACACCTTGTATGTCCCCCAAGAGGCACAAAGCATCAATGTTCACAAGCGGCAAATGAATAAAAGTTAAACGTTCTTCCTGAACACGGTATTTCTAGAAAGATTATTGGGTCACTCTATCTTGAGATCGACAATATCATTAAAAATAGCTTTCCCCATCCCATGCCTTCTGAAGTCTTGGTGACCTTAGATAGATTTTCCATCTCTACCTCTGCGACCTTCAGATTTTAAAGAAAATTGAGAGGGAAAAACGAGAAAACATGACAAGCAGAGGCTGTTCCCTTTCTCTGAGATCCTTTTGCTTGATTGATTGGAGTCCTGGACATGGGCTGTTTTGTTTTGCTTTTTTTAATGCTTGAGTAACAGTCATTGAAAAAAATTATTTATTTAGTTTTTGAATTCTGTATGATTACAATGCTAAAAATATCCTTTACATAAGAATGTAGGGGCAGGAAAAGGCAATCTTATCTATATATTTCAGTCTGGAATGTTTTCCCTCGGAGATACATTTAATGCCCAATTTATCCTAGGCTCTTGGAACCTGTATCTCTTCTCTTTCAATTTTGCTTCTGATGGGCTAAAACACTATTTTCTTAGTTTTCTTTCCAGGGCTCCTTTTTTATCCTTTGTGGGTTTTTTTAATTTTAAAACTCCTCAAAATCTGAGGGTCAGTGGAAAATAATGTTATTTTAAACTTAAGGAAGATAATTAATGGCATGTTTTAGTATTTGGGAAGAGTAAGCTCTAAATCATGCTGTCTCAACCCATGGGCTGCAAGCGGCCCAGGACAGCTTTGAATGTTGCCCAATAAACATTATATTATCAGCTCTTGGCAGGGCGTGGTGACTCACACCTGTAATTCCAGCACTTTTGGGAAGCCAAGGCTGGTGGATCACTTGAGGGCAAGAGTTCCAGACCAGCCTGACCAACATGGCAAAACCCTATCTGTACTAAAAATACAAAAATCAGCCCAGCAACTGCAGAGGCTGAGGTGGGAGAAATTTTGAATCCAGGAGGCGGAGGCTGCAGTGAGCTGAGATTGTGCTGACTGCACTCAATCCTGGGCAACAGAGCAAGACTCTCTCTCAAAAAAATGATGAGATCTTTTTACAATTTTTTGAATAGCTGATCAGCTCTTGCCAGTGTTAGTGTATTTTACGTGTGTCCCAAGGAAGCCAAAAGATTGGACACCCCTGCTGTCTAAATGGAAATTTAAAATGAAACAAATAGTTTTAAAACCAAAATATTTAGTAATTAAAACTGGCAAGATGCTCTTAAATTTTTGAGCATATGCTTGAAATAGAAGAAAATTTTGCTTTACATTAACTTGTATTTCATGAATAGTAACTCTCCAGTTTTAGGCATGTTGTATTCTTTTGATGTCAAATGTAGTAATACAGCTTTTCTTTATAAAAAAAATTTTAATTTTATTTCAATTTAAGTTCCAGGATATATGTGCAGAACGTGCAGGCTTGTTACATAGGTAAACGTGTGCCATGGTGGTGTGCTGCACCTCACAACCCATCAGCTATTAAGCCCAGCATGCATTAGCTATTTATGCTGATGCTCTCCTCCCCTCCACCCACCCAACAGGCCCCAGTGTGTGTGGTTACCCTCCTGTGTCCACGTGAAAAACACAGCTTTTCTGATACCTGACTAAATTATGGTCATTATGCAGATGTCTGGGACAATACAGGAAAGGTTCAGCAGTGAGAGGTGTGAAAGTTGTCAGAATCCCCTCCCAGTGTCCATGTGTTCTCATTGTTCAACACCCACCTATGAGTGAGAACATGTGGTGTTTGATTTTCTGTTCTTGTGTCAGTTTGCTGAGAATGATGGTTTCCAGGTTCATCCATGTCCCTACAAAGGACAGGAACTCATCATTTTTGATGGCTGCATAATATTCCTGGGGTCTGTCAGGTGGAAATAGGGGAGGGACAGCAGGGGGTGGGGAGTTGGGGAGAGAGAGCATGGGGGGAAATGCCAGATACAGGTGATGGGGAGGAAGGCAGCAAATCACACTGCCATGTGTGTACCTATGCAACAATCTTGCATGTCCTTCACATGTACCCCAAAACCTAAAATGTCAGAATCAAAATGGAGTCACTCATGTTAAAAAAAAAAACACTGACAAAAAGAACCAGGCAAGTTTATAAATAAAGGGTTCTCATGAGGATCGTAAACTGTGATTTTTTTCACTCAAGTAAAACACAATCTTTGGTGTGTGGCTGAAAGGTCTTTGTACTGCCTATTCCTGAGTGGGATTATTTAGGTTGATCCTGAAAATACAGCAGACATTGCTTCTTTATGAAAATTTTAGTGAGATATTGGATATGGGGGGGAGTGCAAAAACCAGGGTGAAATCAGAAATTAGAGCGGGAGTACAAGGACAATAATCTGTATTATGAAAAATAATATATATTAAAAATATAGGGCAGTGATACTCTATCGCAGCTTATAAAAACTCCATAATTTATTGTATAATGCTGCCACTGGGACAAAGACCCATGTAATAGGCCAACTGCAGCAAAAACCACTGGCCTTGGTAGAGTTTACAGAAAACATGATTTAACCTGTCACATGATGGAACATGAACTAAAATTTTACAGTAGGTCTCAAAGAGGAGAATGAACATTTAAGCCTCATATTTTGTTTGATCATAGGAATCTTTTCTGGTATGATACTGAAATGATTTGATTCTAGGATAATTGCGGCTTTGAAGTGTGTTGAGACTTATGGCTTGATGTGTGGTCCGTGTTTGCAGATGGTTTATGTGTGCTTGCGTACAATGCGCTATACATGGTCCTTAGAACAAGCTTGTTAAGGATGCTGCACAGATCTGCCTGTAGCCTGTTATCTATTCTGCTGAATCCATCAATTACTAAGAAGGATGTTTCAAAATCTTCTGGGGGCACATTTGTCAATATCTTTTCATTGTTCTGGCAAATTGTGCCTTGTATATTCTGACACCGTTTATTAGTAAGTGTAAATAAAAATGAGGTATGTAACTTCCTGGTGAATTGAACCATCTATCACCGTGTAATGTTTTCTGCATTTTAGTTTGTACTCATGCTGCTGTACTGTCTGTTTTCTGTTATTTGCTTGACAAATCTATCTATTCATTCCCTTTCAAACTCTCTATGCCTTTATGTTCTGTTTGCCACTTGTAAACGACATATAGTGGATTTTGTTGTGTTTATGTCTAGTTCTGGAATTATTGTCTTTTAACTGCAAGTTTCTTTTTACTTTTTTGAATGTTTTAACTTTTCACCCAGGCTGGAATGCAGTGGTGTGATCATGGCTCACTGCAGCATCAGCCTTCTGGACTGAAGCCATCCTCTTGCCTAAGCCTCCTGAGTAGCTGGGACTATAGGCTTATGCCACCAAGCCTGGCTAATTTTTACTTTTTTTTCTCTAAAAAAAGAAGTCTCACCATATCATCTAGGCTGGTCTCTAACTCCTGGCCTCCAGCAGTCCTCCTGCCCTGGCCTCCCAAAGTTAATGTATTAGTCCATTTTCACACTGCTACAAACCTGAGACTGGGATATTTATAAAGGAAGGTTTAAGTGACTCAACAATCCTCCCACCACAGCCTCCCAACTAGCTGAGACCACAGGCACATGTCACCACTCCCAACTAATTTTTAATTTTTTTGTAGGGAGTGGCATCCTCCTACGTTGCCCAGGCTAGTCTTGTATCCCTCGGCTTGAGTGACCCTCCCGCCTCAGCCTCCAAAGTGCAGGGCTTGTAGGCATGAGCCACGACACCCAGCCCCGTTTTTTTCCCTTCTCCAAGTCAAGTGGGAAGTCAACACAAACTAAAAATCAAGGCCAGGTACAGTGGCTCACACCTGCAGTTCCAACACTTCGAAGGGTGAAGTAGAAGAATGGCTTGAGCTTAGGAATTTGAGATCAGCCTGGGCAAAAAGTGAGACTTCATCTGCACTAAAAGGACAAAAATTAGCCAGGCATAGTGGCACATGCCTGTAGTCCTAGCTACTTGAGAGGTTGAGATGGGACGATTGCCTGGGCCTGAGAGGTCAAGACTGTATTGAGCAATGATTGCACCACTGCACGCAAGCCTGAAAGACAGAGTGAGACTCTGTCTCAAAATAAATATATATACATATATAGGAAAAAATAGAGAGAGAGAGGGAAAGAAAATCAATACATAGAAGTGATAGACTCTTAACAGCTCTAATTAACTGTTATCAGTATTATGGCCCAGGCTATAACAAGATGCTTTATACATATTTTCCTCACATTATGAGAACCTTGCAAGGCCGGGCACAGTGGCTGATGCCTGTAATCCCAGCACTTAGGGAGGTGAAGGCAGGCGGATAACCTGAGGTCAGGAGTGCTGGATTACAGGTGTGTGCCACCGAGCCTGGCCTACAGCATCTTTTTGTTTGTTTGTTTTTGAGATAGAGTCTCATTCTGTCTCCAGGCTGGAGTTCAGTGGCGCAATCTCAGCTCACTGCAACTTCTACCTCCAAGGTTCACGTGATTCCCCTGCCTCAGCCTCTCAAGTAGCTGGGACTACAGGCGGTTGCCACTGTGCCTGGCTAATTTTTTGTATTTTAGTAGAGATGGAGTTTTACTATGTTGGTCAGGATGCTCTCGATCTGCAGACCTTGTGATCTGCCCACCTCGGCCTCCCAAAGTGCTGGGATTATACGCATGAGCTACCGAGCTAAGAGCAACGTTTTCTGTTTTAATGTGGCCAAGCTATCTCTAAATGAAAATGGCCTGGCAAAATTGTGTAGTGCTGTACCTGCCAACTGTGTGAGCTTGAGTGTGATACTTATTTGACAATACAGTGTTTCCTCTCTATGTTTCCTTATCTTTAAAAAAAAAAAAAGGCAAATGATAATGTCTTAGTCAGGACTGTCAAGTACAATCCGAGTACTTGTTGCTACACTCTACTTGGCAAATTCTACTCATTGATGTTTCTTAATATATAAACCTAATCTATACCAAGATAAATTACAGGTGCATATTAACAATCTTTACTTGTAAAGCACTCTGCGTATTTTTACATACTATTCTTCAAGAAGGAAAAACACCATCAAACTGGCTCATTTTCATAGATGTCTGTATATAGTCTATGATGCCTTTATTCCATTAAAAACCCCACATGATTAAATATGAAATTAATGTACCCAGTTATGAGGCTACCATATTCTTTAACACAAAGTGTGGTTCAGAAGAATGAGAAAATACACCAATCAGAGTACCGAGACGAGCGTGGCCATAGAGACCCCCACCCAGGTGGTGCTGAAGGAGTTAAGAAGCAGACACCCAGATGGAACAGCAAAGTGGGACTATCGGGGGCCAACAGCCTTCCCAGCTGAGAGCCTCAGGGAGCTGACAGCTTTCCACTGTGAGGACCTGGAGCAGATTCCCACCCACAGAATTTTTTTTTTCAGTCTGATTTAATTAGGAAGTTGAGGTGGAGTAGAGTGGGATCATCAGAAGGCTGACATGGGACCCCTGGAGTTGGCAATCACAGCAGCGTGAGGTTGGCAAGGGAGCAACCCCATTCAAGGCAAGGCACAAACTATTTGGCAAGGAGAGATGAGGGTGGTACCCCACTGTCAATGGACATGCTCAGGGAGGCCAGTGGATTACATGCAATAGGGAGATCATTCAGGCAATTTCAGCTATGAGGCTGGGCATCTGTGAGGGCTGAAGGCTCAGGCTGTTCGCAGAGGCTTGTGATTCACCTGGGAGATGCTGACGCCCGTGAGTCTTCCACGCTCTCTGGCAGGTGGCTTAGAATGTCCAGTACTTCCCCAGTCACTTTGGCTGCCCCCATGGTCCCACTGCCACTGGACACCAGTGTGATCTTATTGGCCGAAGTCAAGGGACCACTGATCTCCTCTGCCACCTGGGGCAGCTTCTCTAGCAGCATGTCTAGTTGAGCAGCCTCTTGGTACACCTGGAACGCTTCTGCCTTCTTGGCCATCTGCTCAGCCTCAGCTCAGGCTCGGGCCCCTATGGCAAAGGCCTCAGCTTCCCCACCCATCCGAACAGATTCGGCTTCTGCCTCTGCCTGCATAATTAGCTGGGACCTGTGCACAGAAGGGAAGTGGAGGGTGGAGCCCAGGGTCCCTTACTCCCAGGAGAAAGGCCCAGTGATACAGAGGCAGAGGCTCCTGCAACCTGAGATCCATAGGAGTCCAGGTGGTGAAGGCCTCAGTCCTTCATCTTGGGGTACCTAGGTGGCAAGGAAGCTAGAAGGGGTCAGGGAGGGGACATTTACTTCTCTGCCTCAGCTAGGCGCTCCAGCTTGTAGCGCTCGGCTTCAGTTTTTTTTTTTTTTTTTTTTTTTGAGAGAGAGAGAACATGGTTTAATTAAAGGCAAACCTGATTTCAGCAGCTGCAGGTCTTGCAGACAAAAACAAAAAATAAAACCCAGAAAATAAAACAAAATACAACAAAAAACCACAAAAGAAAGTTTACTACACAAAACCAGTTTCTGATAAAGATTCTCCTTCCCCTCCTCATTACTCCACAGTGAGGATGATAAGGCGAGGAATCTCGCCCCAAGAGTCAGAAAACATTCCAGACACCAAATTCTCATGCAGAATGGGGCTTTAGATGGGAACTGGTATTACTGGGAGATGGTAAACCTGGTGAGCTTGTCTAGGGCGCAAGAATGAGTGACAGTTCAAACACTGGAATGTTGCAGCTGCCTAAATGCAGAGCTCAAACACACAAACTGGGTAAAGGTGGTAGGAAAACAGCTTGGACAAGGAGAGAAAGGTGGACACAGGGAAGAGGCTGAAGAGAAGCACAAAAGGTTTCATACTGCCATTGGGTGGGGGGCTTCACCTTTTCAGACCTTTCAAAAAAACAAAACAAAACCCAAACACCATGTCAAACTAAAAGAGCAATAATGTAAGTATACTGGGGGGAGGGGGCTCTAACCACTCTCTCTGAAGAGCAATGAGCATTATCTCACCCCATTCTTTCTGAACAGGTGAGTTTTATTAACAAACAGGTGTTCTGTGTTTTCTCATAGAACCAAGAGCAACCAGGTAGGCAGCTGGTGCCTGCTTACCACCGATGAAAGACAAACTAGAAAGTATTCTCCACGAGGGAGCCACGAGGGAGCCACGGGGGAAGGGTCACGTATCCCATCCTTAAAGAATTGTTTTAATCGGTGTATGATACACATATACTCTTTTGCTACTGTAGAATGCCCCAGGCAGTTTTCCACTTGGTGGGGGAGGCAGCCAGCTTTTTCCTTGCCATGGTTCTCAGCAAACAATATAATTTATCATACACTTTAGGACTTGTCCCTGTATCAGAGAACTGCAATTACCTACTGGCTGGTCTATTTCCTCATTAGAGTCAATTTTTTGAGGACTAAATTGCATTTCTGAATCTCTAATGGTTACCCTCTAGCTCACTGGCTCTGTGTGTTTGAGTGCATGTGCTGAATGCTTAATTATACCACTTACTTTCTGTTAGAAACACGGTGTCTGTCAGCACCAGAACAGCACAGACAGATCTGGCCTTAGAGCTAAGGAAAGGTCTCAAGTATCTCCCAGGCTGGATACACACAGGTTCAACATTACCAAACATGAAGGAATCCCACGCAGCTCAGTACACCCAGGTGTGAGCAACATTGCCAAATTATACCTATGCGGCGTTGGGAGGAGACTCAAAAAGCCGAGAGGCCGGGCTGATTTAGCTATTTCACAGCAGAACCGATCGTGGTCGGACTTGTTCCTGGGAAAATGCGGAGGCTGGCACTTTCTTCAAGAACGGATTGCAAAAGGCAGCCACCTCCGCGTGGCAGGTCACCGCCAGGAAAGGCGGACGCTGAAACCGTCGCCTCCTGCTTAGGCCGCAGAGCGGGAACCGGATTCTCTGGGTAGTAGTGCCGGTAAGGGTGGCGCGCGGTGCCATTTCTAGCTAATAAATGGTACCCTCCCCCGGGACAGTTTTGCTATGACTGCAGGCGTGGCCTGTCCCCCTGCGGGGCTTCAGGGAAGGGGTGGGGATAGGAGGCTCCCCCCGAGGTAGGTCACGCTCGGGGTCCTGGGGCCGGGCCTCCGCGCGCCTCTGCCCCGCCTCCTGCCGACTGGCAGACGCCCGAGGGCCCCGCGCCGGCAGCCTGGCAGTAAGCGGGGAAGAGGTCGCCGCCGGCCCAGGCGTGGCAGAAGCGCTTTCTGTGCCAAGTTTCCGGCTCCGGGTCCCCGGAGGAGGATCGCGGGCCAGAGGCAGAGCCGCCGCCCTGCCGCGACTTTCAGACTCGACTATGACCTCGCGCTGGTGGCGCTGGCGGCGGGGCTGCTCTGCGGCTCTGAGTCCGGAGCCCGGCTTCCCCGGCCTTGCGGGGCCGCCGGGGCCGCGCGCCGCTCTGCCAACGCCCGCCCGCAGGTGAGGTCCCGAGGCGCAGAGGTCAAAGCACCAATGACAGCGGCGGGCGGAATGAATGGGAGCGGGGAGCGCGTGCGCCGGAGCTCCGGGACGCCGGGGGTCTCTCCGGGGTGTGACTCCAGAACGGAAGGGTGTCCGCGGTGGGACGGAGCCGCGCATTGGACTGAAGGATCCTAGGTGCTCCTCGGTGGGATGAAAGCGGTGTCCTGGAGACCCCGGCAGCGTTTGGGGTGGAGGAGAAAGCTATGAGGACTCGGGTCCTGGGGGAAAAAGCAGGAGTGATCTTACTATCCACGGCGTTATGGACAAGATTAAGCCTGCAGGGCGACTGCAGCTACTTCCTTGTTTTAAAGGCAAAGGTGCTCGGAGGTCTCTCCGAGATAATGGAGGATCGAATCGGCCTCGGAATAGTCCGAAACGGTCTTGTGGAGAATGCAAGGCTGGTGCTAGGGTGCATCGGACCTTAGCTGCCCAGCAGTGGCTTGGGGAGGAGAGCACACCTGGATAGGGCCAGAAGGGCACTGGAAGGGAGGAGAGAAACCCTGGAGTCACCGAACGTCAAAATCCCAGTGATAGCTGATTCTTTCAGCGTCTCCTCTGCTGTCTTGGTTTCCAATCTCCTTTCCCTTTCAGTTCAGTTTAGGCTCTGGAAATGGACACTGAGCCCTTCCGCACTTTTGATTCTCAGTGTGCCATGGGGTAGGCCCATGCTATTAGCATAACGGTGCAAAATCTGTGGACTCACTATTTGAATTTAGTACTCGTTTAATTTAGATTTAGCACATTTTATATGTCCTTGTTCTCATCAAACATCATTTTCAATATGAAATATGTAACACTTAAAAATACCTGCTTCATACCAAAGTGGGTGCATATCACAAATTTTCCACAACCAGGTGTTTGGGCCAGGTGCAGTGGCTCCCACCTGTAATCCCAGCACTTTGGGAGGCTGAGGTGGGAGCATCGGTTGAGGCTGGGAGTTTGGGACCAGCCTGAGCAACATAGCAAGACTGTCTCTACGAAAAATAGAAAGAATTAGCCAGGTGTGGTGGTGTGTGCCTTTAGTACTAGCTGCTCAGGAGCCTGAGGCAGGACAATTGTTTGATCCTAGGAGTTCAGGATTACAGTGAGCTGTTTATGATGATAGTGCCAATGCACTCCAGCCTGGGCAGCAGTGTGAGACCCTATCTCTAAAAATTCAAAAGCAAAAAAGACATTTGGTGACTGAATGGCAGCTGAGCAACTAGACACACTAGACAGTAAAGAAAGAATAGGATATGGGGGATGAGGGAAATGTGGGAAAAGAGACTTAGAGGAAGGTAGGCTTTGCTGGGATCCATTTCAGCACTTTCTCTCAGACTTCAGATATTTCTAGTTCCACAGATGAGGCCAGTATTTGCATCCGCCCTCTTGTGCCACTACATACTTTTATTTTTTTCATTTATTGTTTTCTGGACACAGAGTCTCTGTCTCCCAGGCTGGAGTGCAGTGGCAGGATCTCGGCTCACTGCAACCTCCACCTCCCAGGTCAAGCAATTCTCCTGCCTCCCAAGTAGCTGGGATTACAGGCATGCACCACCACGCCCAGCTAATTTTTGTATGTTTAGTAGAGATGGGGTTTTACCATGTTGCCCAGGCTGGTCTCGAACTCCTGACCTCAAGTGATCAGGCCCCCGCTCAGCCTCCCAAAGTGCTAGGATTACAGGAGTGAGCCACCATGCCTGGCCTCAAAATAACAACTTTTTTTTTTTTTCTTGAGACGGTGTCTCACTCTAGCTCAGGCTAGAGTTCAGTGGTGCAATCTCAATTCACTGCAACTTCCACCTCCCCAGTCCTGGTTCAAGCAATTCTCCTGCTTCAGCCTCCCGAGTAGCTGGGATTACAGGCATATGCCACCATGCCCAGCTAATTTTTGTATTCTTAGTAGAGATGGGGTTTCACCAATTGGCCAGGCTGGTCTTGAACTCCTGACCTCGTGATCCACCCACGTCGGCCTCCCAAAGTGCTGGGATTACAGGCATGAGCCACTGCACCTGGCCAAATAACTACTTTTAATCCCCTGGTTTATGTGCTGTCAAACTGTTCTCCCATGTGTAATATCAAAATGTCCTGAGGTGGGTTGGTTTTCTTGACAATATTTATCCAAAAATGTCGTTTCCAAAGTGTGTTGAGTAACAAGAATTTAAAACAGTATTTGTATAAATATAAATTCTTTCTTCGCTATTGAAATCTTTTTTCTCTGACCAATCTTAGTTAAATGGAAGGAAATTGCTTTAAAACTATTTTTCAGGTCTGGAAAGATGGATATGAATATGGAAACTGGCTTGCTTTTGGAGGAAACGATGGACTGTAGATGGTTTTTATTTTCTGTTTTTTTCTTTTGTTTTCTGCAATGACAAGTATTTTGTAATAACAAGAAAAAGAAAACTTTTAAAATTCTTTTTCTAAAGTTTGCAGTTTACCTATAAATGGGTGATTAGAAGATAGAGATTATAATTATGGGGGTTTTATCATCCAATGTTACATTTTTTTCAGGAATATTCTTACAAGTTTCTTGACATTTTTATTTTATAGATACCCTATTTTAATCTTGTGAAGCATCTGACATCTGCCTGTCCATATGTATATAGTATATCACGGTAAGTTTACAATCCATACTGCAACTATTAAAACTATTCATTTTAAAATCTGTTATTTTAAAACCTTTTTTTTTTTTGTAGAGACAGGGAGCTTACTATGTTTCCCAGGCTGCTGTTGAACTCCTAGCCTCAAGCAATCCTCCCACACTCAGCTTCCCAAAGTGCTGGGATTGCAGACATAAGCACCTAGCCTAAAATTATTAATGATAGTGCCTATACATTTCTAAACTGTAGCAGGATAGGCCAGCAAATTTAATATGTTGTTTGACTGAGTGCCATAATATTTGCTCTGTGTGATCTGCCTAGTCTAAAATCAGGAATATATAAAGTTTGAACTCAACCCAGAACACAATGAACATAGTTTAATTTATCTTTGATTTTGTGGGTTCTCAAGGTTCTGCTGGTAAAAATGATCTATTGATCTGTCATTTAGCAAGAATAGAATTTTGTATGTTTTCCCAAATTATAATGACCTTTTCAGATTCATACTTTATTTTTTTATTTTAAAACTTATTTCATCTGGTAGACAAAGTAAATGATTGATTTCTAACACATATTTGGGCTGAATTTTCCATCCTCTGAGTCTACTAAATATGTATGTATATAAAACTTACTTGAAAATGAAGTCGTGCATTTTTGCATGTCCCAGGTTTCATCACACAACCCCAGACAGTAAAACACACAGTGGTGAGAAATACACCGATCCTTTCAAACTCGATTGGAGAGACTTGAAAGGTCTGTATGAGGACATTAGAAAGGTGAATTTTTTATTCTGCTATAATGTAACGTTTTACTAAACCTTACTACAATTTTATTATATGTATTATTATTATTATTATTATTTAGAGATGGAGTCTCACTCTGTTGCCCAGGCTTGAGAGCAGTGGTGCAATCTAAGCTCACTGCAGCCCTCACCTACCAGGTTCATGCAATTCTCCTGCCTCAGCCTCCTGAGTAGCTGAGATGATAGGTGTGCGCCATCATGCCTGGCTAATTTTTGTATTTTTAGTGAAGATGGGGTTTCGCTGTGTTGCCCAGGCTGGTCAGAAACACCTGACCTCATGTGACCACCCACCTTGGCCTCCCGAAGTGCTGGGATTATGAAAAACCAATGCAGGTGTTCAGAGCTATACAATGTGGTTTGCAGCTTTGGCTCATGTATGGTCAAGTTTTAAGTGTTTCTTGAGCAAGAACCACATGTGACCCAGTGCCAGGCAATATGAAAAATGCAGTATGTGCTAATGTCCAGTAAGAGGTTATGGCAGGGTTGGGAACCTGAAAAAAAATGGTCCAGGTAGCTCCTCCTTGTCCGATGAGTTATCCCACCTTTCCTCTTAAAACCCACCACATCCCAGTGACTGTAGCTGTCTCTTCCTTATCCAATTCTGAATGTCGTTGCCAGACAGCCCCAAATACGGCATTTTTCATTCAACTCTTTTTCCTGAAAACTTGCAGTAGGTCCTCACGTGGTTGGGCACGGTGGCTCTTGCCTGTAATCCCACCAATTTAGGAGACCAAAGTGGGAGGATTGCTTAAGTCCAGGAGTTTGAGGCTGCAGTGAGCTATGATCCTGTCACTGCACTCCAGCCTGAGTGACAGAGCAAGACATTTTTTCTGTCTTTAGAAAAAAATTGGCTGGCTGCGGTGGCTCATGCCTATAATCCTAGCACTTTGGGAGGCTCAGGCAGGTGGATCACTTGAGGTCAGGAGTTCAAGATCATCCTAGCCAACATGATCAAACTCCGTCTCTACTAAAAATACAAAAATTAGCTAGGCATGGTGGCATGTGTCTGTAATCCCAGCTACTCAGGTGGCTGAAGTAGGAGAATTGCTTGAACCCAGGAGGCGGAGGTTGCATTGAGCTGAGATCTTGCCACTGCATTCCAGCCTGGGTGACAGAGTGAGACTACACCTCAAAAAAAAAAAAAAGGAAAGAAAGAAAATTTAAAAATAAAATGCCCAGAAATGTCCATGTGCCCCTTTACAAGTGCCCACTTTCCTCCTTTCATCCTCAAGCCCCGCGCACACTGACTCTCATATTCTGATGGCAACTCCAATTCCTGTTTCACAGACGGTAGGGGCCGTGAAGAAAGAACTCCTTCAGCTCCTACTCTGTCACAATTGACCAGCTTGCCTGCGCCTTCTCTGGTGATTGACTGCCTGATCTCCTCCCACCCACAGAAGTCATGTCCCTTCCCTCTCTAGGGGCAGTCCCTTAGCCACCTCCCAGCTCCTTAGGAACTCCCCCAGACGTAGCCTCTCCCTATCTGCAAACTTTCATTGGCATTGTTTCTTCAATATCCATTGGGGGTTCAGTTTCTTCACCTGCTTTTTTTTTTTTTTTTTTGAGACGGAGTTTCGCTCTTGTTACCCAGGCTGGAGTGCAATGGCGCCATCTCGGCTCACCGCAACCTCCGCCTCCTGGGTTCAGGCAATTCTCCTGTCTCAGCCTCCTGAGTAGGTGGGATTACAGGCACCACCATGCCCAGCTAATTTTTTGTATTTTTAGTGGAGACGGGGTTTCACCATGTTGACCAGGATGGTCCTCGTTCTCTTGACCTCGTGATCCACCCGCCTCGGCCTCCCAATCACCTGCATTTTTAAAAGGCCCATGTCCCCTGACCCAATGCTTTACTCCCTCTTTTCCATTACAGTATCCCCTGCCCTCTGCCTCTCTCCGGAGCCGTCACGTTCCCTCCACTATTGCACTGGGGCCCCCTGTCCAGCCTCATCTTAGAAGCTGGTTTTGCTTGAGTCACTAATAGCTTCCCTGTACCAAATCCTAAGGGATGTATTACCAGCAGGAAATCCATACAGGTCTGCAGCAACCTCAATTCTTACCTCCTCAGAAGAAAGAACTCGACTGAGGAGCATTAAAGCAGGAGAGACCGAGGCAAGCTTTAAAGCAGGAGTGAAAGTTTACTAAAAGGTTGAGAGCAGGAAGGAAAGGAAGTACAGTACACTTGGAAGAGGGCCAAGCCGGTGACCTGAGAGATCAAGTGTGTGGTGTGGCCTTGGAATTTGGGTTTCTACCTGTGGACATGCTTCCAGGGACTTGCACCCCTTCTCCCTTGATTCTTCCCTTGGGGTGGGCTGCCCGCATGCGCAGTAGCCGGCCAGTGTTTGGGATGGGAGCATGCGCGTTGTGCTCACTGGAGTTTTGCACATGCTCACTTGGTGCATTCTTCACGTACCAGTCCCAATGTTCCTAAAAGGACATATACCGGTTAAACTCCGCCATTTTGCCTCTTAGCGCATGCTTGAGCCCACTCGCCCACCTCCTGAAATCTTATTGGGAAGCCGATCACCAGTTTCAAGTTTTTCTATTTGACAGGAGACGGCCTTCCCTGGGCACCAGCTGTGACCATTTAGTATTTTAGAGACACAGTTAACAACTGCCTGACCATCACCTGATGGTCGCCTGACATTCCTGGTGTGGGTGGGGGAGCCCTCTCCTGTCCTGCTCGTGCCTGACTAGCTACCTACTGTGAACAGACGCTTCAGGGTTTTCTGAATATTGGGCGCTATTGAGTGTAACCCCTCCTTAAAACATGGTTCCCTTCGCTCTGCACTTTCTTTCTCCACCTCATCCTGAGGCTGTTCTTTGGTTCATCACCTCTGCTTTACTTCCTTTAATTTTGCCATTCCCTGGGGTTCCCTTGGCCCCCTGCTGTCTCTCTGCCCCTTGTATACCTGTGTCCATACTTGGGTCTCCCAAATAACATCACTACTCCAGGTTGAGTTGCGTCTCCCACACCCATGTAGCTGACTGCTCACCGGGAGCGCCATGGGTAGCCTTGACGGTCTTAGACTTAGCTGAGACTTGACTTTTCCCACACGGGTTGTTTTTCTGCTGTTTTCCTATTCTTTGGAGAACCTGGGAAGAACCCAGGACCCTCTCCTCCCCTTCATATCCTTCTAGTCTGCCTCTTGTCAGTCCCTATTGCCCCAGGCCAGGCAATTCTATGCCCCTAGTCCTTTCATTTGTGCTCTTCTCCTCCCTGGCTCAGCTTCCGAGGTGACTGCTTACCTGGGTGATAGCACCACACCCATCACACTGTGTTGTATCAATGGCAGTGATCGTTTTACTTTTCCCCCATCTAGACCCTGAGCTCCTTGTAGGCAAGGCTTGTCTTACTTATCTTTGTGACCTCTGTGCTATTTCAGTGAGTCGGTAATTTACTGAATTAACGATGGGCCCACTGTGTTGTATTCGTCTATGCCGGGCTGAGGGTTCATTGGCTCCCACAGCATCCAGGGGATAAACTCCAAGTTAGTCAAACATGTCCCAGACTGGCAGATACCCCAGAGTGTCAGATACGAGTGACACACACCTGTCAACTGGAAGGGTGCCACCCTCTCTGTGAATCAGAACCCTGTTTAGGCTTCTGATCCCACATCAAAGCCCATCTCCTTCGTGAAATACTTGGTTTTTCTAGCCTGCACTGATCTCTTCCTTCCCTGAACTTTTAATGTATTTAATGTACAGCATTACATTAAATGTACAGCACTGTTCACACTGCCACTGTATTCATCATTGATTATTTTGTATTTGCAAAATTTTTGTCTCCCCATTTGAGTTGCAGGCTCCCATACTTAGGCAGGCTATGCCTTACACCTCATCTGTAAACAAACAGATGACATTGTGAACCCTCATAATGTCTTTTGCCAAATCAAGGCCAAGCCAGATGAACTGGGCCCTGCTTCTCCTTGGCTGTGGTCTGTTTTTCTGCCTCTCATAAACAGCTTTTACCTGAGGAGTTTGAGGCTCTGGTGAGTTATAATTGTGCCACTGCCCTGAAGCCTGGATGACAGACAGAGCAAGACCCTCTGTCTAAAAAAATAAAAATAGGCCAGGCGCTGTTGCTCAAGCCCTTAATCCCAGCACTTTGGGAGGCCGAGGCGGGTGGATCACGAGGTCAAGAGATCGAGACCATCCTGGTCAACATGGTGAAACCCCATCTCTACTAAAAACAGAAAAAAAATAGCTGGGCATGGTG